GCGGCTTATGAAAGTTGAGTAGGATGTATAGGCCTACCACAAATACCAATTTATTATTTTTGCCATTATGTATTATTATGCTTAGTTGATTGGTTGCATTGGGAGGCTAAATAAAACTAGGTATAAAGCATCTATAATTTGGTGGGAACTTGAATATTGCTGGAGGAGTACCTAAATTTTTGTCACAGCAAATTATGGTCAATACTACATTTTATTTTAATTAAATTATCGGGTTTCAAAAGTTGTTCAATTTAAGTTTGGTTTTCTTATTAGAGGTATATACATCTGCATTACAAACCCATTGCAAAATACCCCCGCCGCAGCAAACCTGCAGACTAAGCGAATTTCAACTTGTCTGATTACATTTTTACTAAAATATTTCCATATATAAGACATATTTATTCTCAATTTAAATAACATTTAGATTTAACGAGTGCTTAGGTTTGCTGCTACAGGGAAGGTAAAAAGCATTTTCGACCATAAGTCAATAGTATAGGATGAAATAAATAAATTTGCCAAATTTTATCAATATATATCCAAGTAAACCACAACATTTTTCATTTTCTCCATAAAAATAACATGGGAATTTTAAATTTGCACTTTTTTGAATTTTCTCCGTAACCATTAGGCATACAACAATGCTTCAATATACTAAATTATTTACTTTTTTAAGCTCTACAAAATGGTTGAGAAAAAAATTCCAAAATTTTATGTTTTTAGGGTCAAAAATGAGAAAACCCCATTTTTACCCCATAAAACCCCCCATAAACCCCTGTTCCCATGGTCCGATCATGCTGGTTCGCGAACTTGTTCAAATAAATGTAGGTTTACACGTTTATACCAAATTTCATCAAAATCGGATGATTTTTGTTCGAGTTATCGTGCTGACGGACACATATATATATATATATAAATATATATATATATGAATTTGAACGGATGGTGTTTTTGGCCTCTGGGGACATAAAAATGAAAAAGTAAATCGGTCCCGAGTCCAGGTCTTACCATGAGACCTACGGTAATAGCTTATTCCCTATATGGGAAATTCGCTAAAAACAAAAACCATGTATCACTGTCTATCCAAATAGGCCTAATGTAAAATAACCGAAGTGAATGGTGTAACGAAGTATCAAACTGTAGAATTTTAATTTAGCAAATCGCTACCTGTTTTAATTTTTTTTATTGTTTCTGATTTAAAAATGTTTTTAGTTTATTTTTTTCCTAAATAAAATTAAAGCCTAAGAGGAATTTGTTGAAACTGGTTAGCCCATCACCGACCTTTTTTTATCCGTAGAGTCAATAATGATGGTATTGGTGAAGACATTAGTTGAACAAACATCTTTGCTGTAAGTTAAATTTTTGTTTTGCAATTGCCATGATGCTGCTTCTTCTTATTTGCACACTTCTAAATGTGACGCAGCAGTCATTTTATAGTCTCTAGGTTTAGCTCACTATCGCACTTATGGTTATTAGGGACACAATTTTACTATTTTCACTGGTCTTAAAACCTTAATTGTCATATCACAAGAGAAATCAATAACGGTAATGCATCAGGTATTATGAACTGGTTTAGTTTGACTAGTCTTTGCTATTCCTAAGAGTGAAAATGTGTTGTAAGGAATCTTTTGTGTCTGTTTAAGACTTACGGTACAGGCTCTATATGTTAATAACAGGATGGATCAGCCTATGGATCAACTCAATTAACTAATTGTTTAAATTACCTAGTTGCTGTAAAAACAATAAAAAACTTGATGAAAACTAAGACTGGTAAACCTTTCCTAGATGAGACATAGAACAAAATTTGTTGCACATTAAGAAGGCCATAAATGAATTATGTATACCTCTAAGTATTGGATAATGTTTTGGTTGTGGAGTGGATGTAGTGCTCACCCTCAAACCTGAAGGTCGCTGGTTCGATTCCAAGCTAGGTTGATATTGGACCTAGATGTGATTTGTCATTGAGCTATCAATGAATGATGCAATTTAACAACAATGTTTAAATTAATCAGATAGCCTAGTATATGATCTTATATTAAAGGTATACACAATATCTCCTTGGTAGATTGGATGGATTGTTTGGTCTAATTTAGAGCGAAGGTAGCAAGAGAGAGCCTTGGTTTTAGCATTTTAATGAGAGAAATTATTTCTTGTTTTATTTCAGACTTAATTTTAAGACTAAAAGGTAATTATATTTTGCAGGTTTTTAAAATTGAACTATCTTCCTAACAATTGATTTGAGATGCTATAAAAATACAGTAGAGAATGGAGTAAAGAAGCTTAAATATTTACATACAATTAAAAACAGCCTATCACAATAACGTTAGTTTTTAAAAATAGGCTATTCCTTTTATAGCTGTGATCCATTTGATGCCTAAGCAGAATTAATAAGAAGTGCCGTAACAGCCAGCGAACAGTGGTTGGGCATAGCCATAGAGAAGTAGTGTAGCGTAGTAAGAGCGGAGTTGCAGAAATAATAGCTGTTTTGTTCAATAACAGACAACCAATGTTGTCCTAATGTGTGTTGTCTGATCTGCACTATAAGTTTATCTAATGTGTTTAGTCAGATTTTGAATCATAAACTAAGTAGGCCTAAGTTAGCTAACAAAAGAGAGCAGGTGTTAATAGTCAACAGTAGGCCTAACTTACAGTCCACAGTCCCAAGTTATGTTCACATTCAGTAAGTTTAAAAGTTAACTAATGTAAACTATGCCTACAATTAGATTAATTCAACTGATGCAGGAGGCAAATAAGATCATTGTCCGAAAAGATTTTGTTTGGCTAAACACTCGTCTCGTCTAATATTATCTATGGTGGTTTTGGCCTCTTGGGACATCAAAACAAAAGAGTTTCAAATCAGTCTTGAGTCTGTCTTACCATGGTAAGACCTACTTGTAGTTTCCATCCGTAGTCCAGGGCAAGAATTGGACAGGTCAATAGGTTAGGTATAATACAGTAGGCTAATAATAAAAAATAACTTATAAGAAAAATCACGTCCTATGCCAAAGGGCTCTGTTTTGTCAAATTTAGAAAATCTTCCACATCATAAAAACAATTTTTTGTCAGGAAAGATTTGATTTCTGTTTTGAATTTTGAGATTTTTTGAATGTTTTGAAGTTGTTTTGGCAGTGCTTGGAAAAGTTTTAAACCGGAATAGTGAGGTTTTTGTTCAAACAATTTTTGTCTGTGTTGTTGAGCATAAATTCCTTTGTTTCTAAGTCAGTGTTGTATTTGTGATCTATGAAATGAGGTTGAATGTGTTGTGATTTTATGTATAGCCTACTACTGCTTCGTAGATGAATATGCATGGGACAGTCAAGAGTCCAAGCTGGATGAATGCATCTCTGTAGCTGGCATCTGGTGGCATGCCTAGGATGGTTCTTATTGCTTTTTTTGCCAGACAAAAACTGTTTCCAAATTCTTTTTGGTGGAAGAACCCCACAAAATGATAGAATATGAAATGTACTGCTCGAACAGTCCGTGAAAGACGAGCCTGGATAGAGCATCGCTGCCGTATGACCTCATCCTACGTAGAATGAATAGTCCTCGAGCAAGCGATCTCTCTAATCCATAAATGTGCTCGCCCCATCCGAGTCTATCATCCAGCCTCACCCCTAAGAAGTCAGCCGTTTTTGATTGTTCAATTTGATTCTCTCCTATTAATAGGTTCGGAGTCCTATAATTTTTGGAATGTTGCTTTTGTGCTGTTTGAAAACACAAATACCGTAGTTCGCTTTCTGGGAATTTATACTGAGTTTGTTTGCTTCAAAAAATTTAGAAAGATCTGAATTTTTTTCATTTGCTTCGCCCTCCAGAGTCTCAACACCCTTACCCCATATGACCAATGTTGTATCATCGACAAAGAGGTAAATACCAGACTCTGGAATCGCGTTGGTGATGTCATTAATTATGTAAACCAAGAATAGGAGAGGTCCTAAGACGGATCCTTGCGGAACTCCTCTTGTGATTTTTGAGGAGTCGACATGACATTTTCCATTTTGTGATTTGATTTTCCTCTAATTTTAGTAATTTGGTATCGGTTTGTCATGTACGACTCAATCCACTTGAAAATAATTCCGGAAATGCCAATTGAAGCCAATTTTTCCAAAAGAATGATATAATCGACACAGTCGAATGCTTTTGACAAGTCGGCGAAGCAACCCCCCACTGTCTCCCCAGCCTCAACCGCATCGATACAATCATTAACTAAATCAATGTCAGCCAATTTTGTGGATCTGTTTTTACTGAAACCATATTGTCTATTACAGACAATATTGTTTACTTCAATGTATTCAGTAAGTTGCTCCAAAATAACTTTTTCGATTAATTTTGAGACTGACGGAAGGAAGCAAGACTGGACAATTTAAGTTTAAATTGCATTGAATATGCCTAACTTACCCTCTATAAATTCACAAAAGTTCTCTTTAAATACAAATAGGCCTAGGCCTATGTAAGTTAGCTTAGGCCTACATGTAACTTAGGCAATAATTAATTGAGATTATTAGTTTCGTACTAAGTTAGCTTAATGTGAATCCCGGAAGACCTATTTATTAAGTGTTTAATTTAACGTCATCAAGATTGATATTTTTAATCGCATGTTAATGTAAATACAAAGACAAGTAACAGGTTACACTATCCATTGTCTGTGGTAAAACCTACAACGTCGTGGGTTCTTTTTTTTTCTTTTTCTTTCATTGTTGAGTGTGAGTACACACGTATTTTACAAATAAGTAATACCTAAATCATACTTAAGTTCGGATACTTAACCTAATTTATCGTTAAATTCACTGAAGCCACATAAATCACGACTGAATTAGTAATTCAATAATGTTTTAACTTGCTTGATGCCAAATTTTAATAATTTGATTTTGAATTTGTTTGTGGGCCTAGGCTTGTCCTGATGAATCGAAGCTTTCTGCTAGATATTCCCCCACCCTAAACAAACCGGTGTGTTCATCAAACATATTGCAGAAATACCCTTGATAAAATGTTCATAAACTGACCTGAATTTAATAATCGAAGCGATGTTCTGGAGGTAAATTACTGAGCAAATCAAAATCACTCAAAAACCACTTTAATTAAATGTTCACCTTATCATTTTTCTTGGATTTTCGGCAGTCCAAAAACAAACGACACCTGAATCTTAGTTTAAGCTCAGGCCACCAGGTGGCAGGCAAGTGGAACGGACTGACTGAAACGTCTTTGGATTACATCAACTTCTGCCTTCTTTAAACCAATACGCTTTATTTTATAATAATACTATACAAAATTGCTCTAGTTTAAAGCAAATGAACAATACTATTAAGATATGAGATTAATAACTGCAAACGCTGAAATTTGATTCAGGATACATTCAACATCACAGAGGATCCGAGATAACTACAACTATTATACAGGCTAGATTGATCCATTGATTAAACATCTAGCATTATATTAAAATGCCATGTAGCACGACCACCTTTTACTCTGTTGTAGAAGGGTACGGTCACGGCCGCTCAACTTTAAGTTAAGGCCTTGATAAATGGATAAAACATACTCCTTGAGGAGTATGTTTAATCTATGATTAACGGTGGCCGTGGGTACCGATAGAAGCGTGCTATTGGTCGTAATATTTTATAATGCCCCCGCCAAAGCAAACCTGCAGTAAAAGCAAATTTGCATTTGTCTAGTTGGATTTACACTTAAATTAATATTTCCTTAACCATGTCAGATTGAACCATGACAAATAGGGTAATAAAGTGTGTTTTTTTAGTAAAATATTAATACTTTAGTATAAAATAAATAAATTGTCCAAATTTGTCAAAATATATTCACAAACAAGCAATAACTTATACATCAGTTTACATTCTCCGTAAGAACAACATAAACATTTGAATATTGCAATTTTTAAATTTTCTTTATACAGTAAACAATTTTTTTAGGATCTTTAAAATGTTTTGGAGATAAATTAAGACATTTTATGTTTTGAGGGTAATAAAAAAACATATTTACCCCAATAATATTACCTGTACCTATATTTTACCCAAAACCCCCGTTCCCTTGTTCCGATCATGCTGGTTCGCGAACTAGTTCGATGAAACTTAGGTTTACACGTTTGTACCAAAATTCATCAAAATTGGATGATTTTTGCTTGAGTTTTCGTGCTAACGGACACACAGGGTTGGGTAAAAGTATGGACACCCCAATACTCGCCCATGACCTTGACTCCAAAATAGGATATTTTGTTGGCAGCTCAAAATTTTTAAATATAAAGCCCTATTAAGTGACACCTCATTTTAAATGCAATCAGTTTGAGAAAATATCGGCAGAAACAAGAGGACACACAGTTTTTAGTTTGCAGGCTTTACCCAAAATACCACATGGTTTCTTGGCGAAATAGTAATACCCATTAAAAAATACACTTTTATATCTATGAAGATGATAATGAGTTACATTTCCTTTAGTACAACCAGATAAAATATGTTAATTGGGATGATGATGTATGGTCTCTCAGAAAAATGAAAACTAAAAGTTGCCACCGTTTTGTATTTGGTTGCATGAGAAAGGGACCACTGGTTTTGCTGATAGATTATTCTGTAACTGATGACTTTTTAAATGAAGGGCCACTTGATGGGACTTTAAATTTAAAATTTCAGAGCTGTCCCCTAAAAACCCTGTTTTTGTATTTCGCCTTGCACTTGATGGGAAATTTGCTAAAACATGGTCAACATGGACGTTTTGCTACAACGCCACAGCTCTAAATGTACTATAGATACACAAAACTATAAACTTGTTGTAGTTCTGTGGTAGTGAGTCGCAACCATGTGGCGACCAACGAACTGTAGCGATCGACACACCACAAATTAGTTATTGAATTCAAATAAATTTGCAGGTCAATCTTTTTCCAATTAAATTAAAATTCCTTCCATTTTAACTTACAATAAATCATTAACAACAATAACATCAGCTGTTATAAACTTTAGAAATATTGTTGTGCCTTTATCAATAGTGTTTCCAAATAAATGATATCTATACTACAAAAAGTTGTAAATCATTAATTTAGCTCGTATACGTAGTAATACCAATAAGGATTTGTTTTAAATTAAAACTATCCAATAATAGATCTTTCCCAAAAAGATTTCAAGAATATTTTTCTTCCAAAATCAACTCAAATTTAAAACTAAATAGAACTAATATAGACAAAAGAATGTCATTACATTTTATCCCGCATTTATTGGCTACCAAGGGATTGCCAGTTCTAATACAGTACTGTACTTTTTTAGCAAATTTCCCTATAGGGAAGTAGCTATTATCGTAGGTGGCACGGTAAGACCTAGGCCCGGGGCCAATTTCCTTTTTCATTTTGATGTCACCATAGGCCAAAAACACCATTCGTTCAAATTTGTATATATGTATACAAGGTTTCCCGTAAGTAAACTGCCAAACTCCGGTAAATGGTTCTATGGGTCAAAATAAAGAGAAAATCAAGAATAACATTTTTCCAAAATCGCTTCGTTAACCAGATATCCACCGTTTTTTGTTTTTTTTTTTACATTAACATTTTTATCTTTAAAGTTTTTCAACCGATCATTACGAAACTTGTTATGTATGTTAAGGTATAATAGACCCACGTTAGAAAAAAATCATCATTCTTAAGATTTAAAAATGGTGGTCATTTAATTTTTTTTAAACTTATATTACTAAAAAATGGCTGATTTTATGAAAAAAAAATCCAGGAACACTTTTATTTAGCATTTTTATTCCCTATCAAATGATACCAAGTTCAAAAAGATCGATTAAGATATAGCAGAAATATTACGATTTTTAGTTGTAAATTGGGCAAACGTGGCTAGCCTATTTCTACCCCATTTTACAAAAAAACAAAAAAAATCTTAATATTTCAGCTATTTCTTATTTGATCTTTTTGAACTTGGTATCGTTAAATCCTACTAATATTATAAATGAGAAAGTGGATGTATGGATGTATGTATGTTTGTGACAAGTAAACGCGATAAATACTGGTCGGATTGGGCTGAAATTTGGCATGATGATAGCTCACATTCCCGATTAACATATAGGCATATTATTATTTAAAAAATCCTTTCGGGCTCTGCCCCAGTGGCTCTGCAGTTTCCCATGTTAACCTTATGAGTATTCATATTTAAAGAAACTTAGCCAGCTGTTTCAACTAAAAGAGTTGGTTCTATGATATGTAAAAGCATTAAAAAGTTATAAGATTTACCAACAGGTAAATCAGCACCTATTATTTGTTTTCATTATTTTTATAAACATAGCTAATTTGAACTAAGCAGCAACAAAAACTGTCATACAAAAAACTGTCATACGCAATGAGAACAAAAAACTGTGATACGCAATGAGAACTGTCAAAGTAGGATTGTTTACAGTTTTTTACATTTTTTTTTTTATTTGATGAATAATTTGTGATATTTTGCAAATTTTTAGTAATCTATCTTTCTCTATTGTGTAGACCTACGGTGTCCTGCATGGTTCAGGGGCGTCGCTTTGGGGGGGGGGGGGGTATCTGGGAAATAGAAAAGTTGGGAATGGATATACTTGGCAAATTTATTTATTTTATACGATTAATATTTTAATAAAAAATACGTTTTATTAGTTTCCTAGTATTAATAGTCAAAGGTATAACTTTACTAGCAAGTTACTACATACAGACCACAAGAAAATAACATTTGGATGAAAACCTTTGAACATAAATAGAAATATCCTTACTTGTCGTAAAGTTAAATAAGTATATAGTTAAATATTTCAAAATATTTATTTTACGGCAAATAATCATTTTAATGGGTAGGTGGATAGCCACCTAGCATAGCATCGCATTCGAGTTTGCGAATGAGCATGATCGGACTACGGGAACAGGGGTTTTTGGGGGGTTTTATCGGGTAAAAATTGGTTTTTCCCATTTTTGACACTAAAATCATAAAATTTTACAATTTCTTTCCAGACCAATTTGTAGAGCTTAAAAAATAAATAATTTTGTATATTGAGGCGTTTTTGTATGTCTCTTAAGGAGGTAATTAAAAAAAAAACTTTAGATTTAAAATTCCCATGCTATTCTTATGGAGAATTAATAAACTGTTGTAGTTTGCTTGTTTATGGACATATTTTAATCAAATTTGGCAATTTTCTTTATTTCAAGCTAAGCAATCAAAAACACACCTCAATAACTCTCTAGCAACAAACCTAGGGACTCATTAAAATTAATGTTATTTAAATAGGAAATAAATTTAAAAATTTTCAGGGAATATTTTAGTAGAAATCCAGCCAGGTAAATGGAAATTCGCTTAGTCTGCAGGTTTGCTGTGGCGGGGTATGATATGGTTCACCATAGACAAATAGAATTAAATATAGACTGACAGCAGTGCTGCGGTTAGCATAAGTTCTGGTGTCCACCGCTGGGAGAGCCGTTTAGTTAAGGTGCACACAATACTTAACTAAACTCCTAACCATAAGACTGCTGTCGGTCTATATATTTAATTCTATTTGACTATGGTAACACAACACAAATGTCATCCAATTTTTACACCGCAAGTAACTTACACAGTAACCTGTATGTTACACATTGGATCAAAAGAGGGGGATGGAATAATTAATTGAAATAAACACCAACAAAGTAAAGATGGTAGAATATTTTATTTGCAAAAAAATGATAAATATTCAAATCAAAAACATCGCCTACCTCATTGGACAGATAAAAAAAATGCACAGAATACACAAAATATTTACAAAATTCCTCTAATGGATTTATGAATTCTTGGTCATAGCACATAGCAAGCAATACGAGAGGCACCTATGCGAATATTATATAAATACACAATTTACAATGCAATTAAATAAATCTATTCTTAAATTATCAATATAGTTATATTTATTTATAATACTTAATTACATAATTAAAATGTCTTAGGTGATATTTCACAATTTTGCTGGCCTTAAAAATGTCTCAGACTTTCTTTTATTTCACTCCATGCAAAACTTATACAAATTCAAATTTTAGAAGCAAATAATTTTAATCGAAGGGTAGGTAAGTATTTAACCGTAATTTTTATGTCACAGTTTCAAACTTAATTTTAATTCTGCTTTAGGCCGGCCACACACAGAACCAGGCAAGGCGGGGCGCGACAGGGCATTTTGCCCCGGGGTGTCTTGTGCGACGGGAATTGCACGGGCGCTTATGGAGCTCCACACAAAGGACCGGGCGAGGCAGGGCACGTCGAAAAGACGCCCCCGGGCGCCCTCAGGGCAAAATGCGAAGGTCTCCAAAATTATGCTCCGAGGCAAGTCGCTGCCGGGCAGAACGTTCTGCGCATGCGCGGTCATGTGATTTATTCCCTTTCGGGCTAATTTTGATAAGGATTATTTTGCAACTGATACAATTTACATACAAGACTAACAATTAATACGACCAAAGATTACACCCTTTGATACAACTACACAAGTTGTAGTGAAGTAGTGATATTACTACAGTGGTTGAATAAATAATAATTTATCTTGGTATTGATAACTGAGGAAATAGAGGGCCAACGTTCATATCTTAAGGGTTTCTAAAAACACTCTTCTGGAGGTATGGCTGTTTGAATTTTGTTTTCTATTCTGCTCCCAAGTATAAAGTCCAATTTAAAAGTTTGCTAAATCGGCTCAAGGCTCAGAAATAAAAAATCCTATATTAATTTTCAGGTTTATGGGGGCTAAACTTTTTACTTGACCTGCCCCGCCTCATTCTGTGTGTGACAGCAGCAGGACAGGGCAAATCAGGCGTCTCATCGTGCCCTGTCGCGCCCCGCCCCGCCTGGTTCTGTGTGTGGCCGGCCTAAGACACTAGAAGTAGAAGGGCTTTTAATAAGGGGTTCTTGTGTTTAATTTATCCATGTGAGATTTATTAGCCATTGATGCTGGAAATCAGCTTTTCTTTACTTATCCATTAAATATTAAGTAGTTCTCAATCTGTAATTTGAAATTCAAAATCCTCAAAGTTTATTTTAATGGAAAACAAGTAATTAAGAAGAGACATGCTATACTGTAACGTCGCCACTGTAACGTTCAATTTGACAGGAGACGGGACTAGTGAAAATAAAAGCTACATAATTAGTTAATACCACAGGCTGCACAGACCGAGATACCAGGACGGACTGGAGTAGTGGTAAGATACACGGGTAGGGCATAGTTGCGGTAGCCAATGCCCCGCAACACACACGCAATGTATGTGGTTTATTTATTAAAATCACCTGATATAACGTCACAGACGTGTATATTTTTGTTTGAAAAAAAAAACTTTTAGACATATAGGCCTACTTGTTATAAACATGGTTTATTTGAGATAACTTAGAATTCAATGATTGTGTCATAAATTAACTTCACAGTTGAAACAAAGGGCATAAAATCACTTGGATTTTATTATTTGGTCTCATAACCATTCTATAAGTAAAATGTAATAAATATTATTATTATAAGTAATTTATAGTCATATCAAATTAATAAGTTTTTAAAAGTATTAGATTTTTAGTTTTTGTTTTCTAACCTGAATGAAATTTATGTATCATAGGCACTAGAGTAAAATAGTTGATCAGTTAACTGTATATATTTGCCATCTTGTTTGTTTACTTTTAATATCAGCCAAATAAAATAAAATTGGGCTTCTAAGCATAATATGAAAACAAAAATTGAAAATTTTTAAATTTTGGAAAATAATAAAATCTGAGCAAAGCAACTTAGGAATCAACATAGTGTTTACAAGTTTAAAAATAGGACAAAAGATAAAAGTAGAATATTATACAACATTATATATTTTGTTTGTCAGAACCAAAGTTTCATTATAATCATAATAATAGATTCACTATATCAAATAGAGAATAAAATAACCTAAATGTAAAATTAATAATTAATGAAAAAAAACCTCCATACACAAACAATCACATATCAGCAGCGACCATAATAGAATTCAAAACTGTAGCGGATATTTTTTTAACAGCAGTCACGACATTTCATTAGCCCAAGATGGCACATTTATGTCCTTAAACTAATAAATTTTGGATAAAAGGCCAGCAAATGTAAGACTACATTTCATTAGTAGAAATAGGATATGGTTATGTATGCTAAGTTATAAGTTTCCTTTTTTGTTAGTCACAGCCAAGTCAAATTATACAATAGATGAGTACAAAAATATTTACTTTACCATCCTATACAGTATACAGGACCCTCTCTACAATAATTCATTTGTACACATACTTAGTGTAAACGACTATGATTAACTATGGTGTTAGAACGTACAAGGTTAAAAGTATTTCAGCATCGACATGCTGACACAATTTAATCTGTGAATAAAATAGACTGTTTCAAATATAGCTAGAAAATGTTACTCTGGTGCACAAAAATTGTGAATTTTACATCTGTGATGACTATGTACAATCATTTCAAAAAGACTCTCTTAAAAAGATTCAACAGTGATGAGTGAAATATTCAGTGATCAGAGAACAAAACACCTAAACAGCAACTTCCCAATATTTTATATTTTTATATATATAAAGCCTTTACCAATTACTGAGTCATTGTTGCCTCGATAAAATAACAAAATAAACACACCTCTAGCCTTCTGTGAATACAAGACAGTCAAACGGAAAAGACAGCACGAACAATTCTACATTTATATTCTGACAATGGCTGAATGCTCATGAAATATTTTCGTTAACATTCGATTAACATACAGTATTAAAGAAGCCAAGAGATAAAAAAAATTACATGAACACAAATACTGTATTTTAACAGTAAATTACAGCGTGTAAACCTTACAAATCACCAGCTTTTCAAAAACAAGATGTTTCCCTAGTTAACTAATTTGAAACTACCCCTCAGCTAATTTGCAGAACATGAAAATGGAGGGCTTTCTTAAGACTTAACTATAAATAGAATTTACTGAGAATTTCTTGTATGATTTTACTGTAAAATGTCCTTTTATAATTTTGTCAAGTGTTCAGATTGACAACTATTTCAGAATTGAAACTAATCAACATAAGTTAAAAAAAAAAAAAAAAAAAACAAGTGATTTAATGTGATACAAGTAATTTTATAAGTTTTGTTTATAAATTTACCTGGAAAAAGTTTTTATTTCTGTAATTGATACAAAACTGTATGTAGGTACCATTTAAATTCAAGTTTGGTGAAATTTGTACATCATATTGTTTTGACGTCTTCATGATTTTGTACAAAACTTAAAATTCTTTAGCCTAATAATAAACGTAGACTTTAGCATGAGTATTCAGCCGCTTTAACAACCATTTAGAGATCCTTAATCATATAAAATCTTAAAATAATTTAAATTTTTACAGCATAGTTATTTAAATGTTGATTATCACACAATGCAAATTTCTTACCAACTATAAAACTCCTACATGAATTATTTACTTTATATGAAAATCTTAACTTATCTTTGCTAAAATTATACGACTATACAGATCAATTCTCTAAGCCTGCATCTAGCATTGATAAAATATCTACAAGATAATAAAAATTCACTCGACGTAATTAAAAATATGTATTAAAGTTTAAATACTATCTGTAATGAGTTACGACTAATGTTAACAACTACAAAGAAATATTTTTAATTATTGAAAGAATCTTATATTCATTCTGATGTGCGGTAAAAAGTTTATGAGTTAAAAGTGAATTAAACGTACATGTATGCAAAACTAGTGAATAGCACCCACTATGAAAACAATGTCATATCACTCGTGGGGTAAGGCTTTCTCTGAATCGATATAAAGAACTTTATAGAAGGTGCTATAGTTTAATCTCTTGATTTAACAAAACAATTACAGTTAATACACTTTTCCACACTATTCACACAATTTTATAATGTCTAGCACCAAAAGAGCTTCCCAAATTGAAGTATGTTAATAGTCAATGCTCAATACGTAAAATAAATTATAGGTTCTTCAAAACAGACTATTGAATAGCATTAAAACGAGTAATTTCTGATCAAATAAATGATATTATGTTGCATAGTTTGTTTTAGGTTAAGCTAAATTATTAAAGGTGGTAGCTTTGTCTAAAACCGAGCGGATAATTAGTTCTAAGAACAATCTGCCAAGGAAACAAACCAAAATGTAAACTCCTGCTATGTAAAAAAAACTTTTTCACAAACTTAAACTATGTACTGTACCTTTAAAAATATGCTTAGTATTCTATACACAAATTGAAATACATGTAACTTCAAACAAAAAGCTTAAAAAATGTAAAATTTAATAGGAATGATAAATTTGATAATATAAACAATATATGACTAAATGAGAAAATAATAACGGTTTATAAAATCTAATTACACATAGTTATAAACTCAATAGTAATGGTAACTTCATAATTTAAGCGTAATAGCTATATTGCTAAAAAAGTAGGGATGGTCAAGTCTCGAAATTTCGGGAAATTTTAAATCTCGTTACACGAGACGAGATTTCTTTTTGGCCGAGATTTTTATCGAGACGAGAATAAAAAAAAAAATTAAAAACGCCTGCAGAAAGTCAATGCAATACCCACAATACAGGAGCGTGTTGTAGTTGCGTTTCCTTTGCGAAGGCGTTCTTATTTAATTAATTCTTTGAATGTAAATATAACTTTAATTATTTAAATAATATTACTGTACTTTAATAACATTTGAGAAGTTTTGTTAAGTGTAAGCAGTGTAAGGAATGTTTTATTACTATAAAAAGTCAAAACAAGTAACTATTTTATAAAAATTAATATTGCTTTTATTTTATGATTTATTTTATTTTAGGATAAGTTGAACTCTATCCTAACTGATATCACTATGTTTCCTAATCGTAGGCATTTTTAATAAGTTAGGAGTGATTAATAAAAAAATGTTATGCTGATGTTTTTTAATAAAAGATTGTAAATATTCTTGCCTATTATCATTATTGATGTATTTAAACAGTCATCTAACAATGTTACAAAATCAGGTAAAAATTTTGAACGTGCATTTCCCGTTGTGTATGAGAAGGGAAATCCCGTCTCGATCTCGTCTTGAAATTTTATGAGAAATAAAAAATCTCGTCTCGTCTCGTCTCGAACTAAAAATCCAATCTCGTCCATCCCTACAAAAAAGAATATACAGTAAAGAAAGAGATTCATTAAATTTTTGATGGAAATAAACAAAAATAATGAAAGTTTAAGAACCAAATCAAGAATAAATAATATTTTACAACTAATTGTTTTTCTGTTATTCAGACCAATTAATAACTAACTACACACAACATTTTACGCTTTATCATTGGAACGCTAACCAGCTTGTTAAATAATAAAAATCACAAATACAGGACAGATATAAACTAGACAACAATAATCACAAACAATAGCGTCTACCCACTTTGGAAACATTTTCTATAATTTATAAAATTTAACATTTACAATATACTTTTAGATAGAAAAACACAACATAGTCTTATTGTCTTTATAGACATCATAGATCTAACACAACATACAACAGGTCATGAATGAGGTTAACACCATGAAATAAACTAGAAAAATAAATTATATAAATGAATTTGTATACAACTTGACAGTTTGTGACATATTGTTACATCCAATAATCAACAACCCACAATTCAACAATTTTTACTAGCATCTAGCTCGATTGATATTAAATTTTCATAAATTCAGTATTGTTACAGAATATTGTAGTATTTTTGGTGAACTTTTAAACCACTAAAAAATTTATTGGTGTACATTCCACAAAAATGTGTGATAAATTGAAACTACATTGAAATTTAACAATCAAAATCCTATAAAATTGATAATAACTTCCCATAACCTCAAAAAATGTTAACAAAAATTTAAACAAAAAAAGCTACTTAAGTAGACAAATCTATAATATTATTATCTACAATTAACGATCAACCAATTACATCGAGAAACAAAAATGAAGTACAAATCAAAATGTTCCTTGAGTTTATAGATCAGCTGATTGAGCATCATAGTTATGTGAATGTACAAGACGAGTTTTGAGTTTATCGCAGACGGGTAATGTGCGGAGTGTAGAGTGGTGCTACGCTACTGAGGTATCTACAGTCCGATTCTATTTGTTCCCTTGGTTACTTTGTTTCCTGCGTGCCTTGTCTAGTAGATTTCAAACCTGGAACCATAAATGTTAGATTACGAAAGTGAATTGGGGTAAATAATGAATAATGAATTGGGAACAATTTTATTTGTGTCGATAAGGTACTTAAGTTTGTTACTGACATTGCTGATCAAGAAGTTATTTAAAAAAAAGTGTTTATACCATATTATGAAATCTACAGATGGTGTGATTGAATAGTGAGTTCTAGTAACTTGACTATAGCATTCTCTTGTGATCTAGAGTTTATTACCGAAAGTGGTGTTGTTTAGAGTTGGTGTGGTGGAGCGAGGAGTGAGTTAGAGGCAGTTTATTACCTGAATGTGGTGTCGTGTTGAGGTGGTGTTGGTGGAGCGAGGAGTGAGTTAGAGGCAGTTTATTACCTGAATGTGGTGTCGTGTTGAGGTGGTGTTGATAGTGAGTTAGAGGCAGTTTATTACCTGAATGTAGTGACGTGTTGAGGTGGTGTTGGTGGAGCGAGGAGTGAGTTAGAGGCAGTTTATTACCTGAATGTGGTGTCGTGTTGAGGTGGTGTGGTGGAGCGAGGAGTGAGTTAGAGGCAGTTTATTACCTGAATGTGGTGTCGTGTTGAGGTGGTGTGGTGGAGCGAGGAGTGAGTTAGAGGCAGTTTATTACCTGAATGTGGTGTCGTGTTGAGTTGGTGTGGTGGAGCAAGTAGTGAGTTAGAGGCAGTTTATTACCTGAATGTGGTGTCGTGTTGAGGTGGTGTTGGTGGAGCGAGGAGTGAGTTAGAGGCAGTTTATTACCTGAATGTGGTGTCGTGTTGAGGTGGTGTTGGTGGAGCGAGGAGTGAGTTAGAGGCAGTTTATTACCTGAATGTGGTGTCGTGTTGAGTTGGTGTGGTGGAGCAAGTAGTGAGTTAGAGGCAGTTTATTACCTGAATGTGGTGTCGTGTTGAGGTGGTGTTGGTGGAGCGAGGAGTGAGTTAGAGGCAGTTTATTACCTGAATGTGGTGTCGTGTTGAGGTGGTGTTGGTGGAGCGAGGAGTGAGTTAGAGGCAGTTTATTACCTGAATGTGGTGTCGTGTTGAGGTGGTGTTGGTGGAGCGAGGAGTGAGTTAGAGGCAGTTTATTACCTGAATGTGGTGTCGTGTTGAGGTGGTGTGGTGGAGCGAGGAGTGAGTTAGAGGCAGTTTATTACCTGAATGTGGTGTCGTGTTGAGGTGGTGTTGGTGGAGCGAGGAGTGAGTTAGAGGCAGTTTATTACCTGAATGTGGTGTCGTGTTGAGGTGGTGTGGTGGAGCGAGGAGTGAGTTAGAGGCAGTTTATTACCGAAAGTGGTGTTGTTTTGAGTTGGTGTGGTGGAGCGAGGAGTGAGTTAGAGGCAGTTTATTACCGAAAGTGGTGTTGTTTTGAGTTGGTGTGGTGGAGCGAGGAGTGAGTTAGAGGCAGTTTATTACCTGAAGGTGGTGTCGTGTTGAGTTGGTGTGGTGGAGCGAGGAGTGAGTTAGAGGCAGTTTATTACCTGAAGGTGGTGTCGTGTTGAGGTGGTGTGGTGGAGCGAGGAGTGAGTTAGAGGCAGTTTATTACCTGAATGTGGTGTCGTGTTGAGTTGGTGTGGTGGAGCAAGTAGTGAGTTAGAGGCAGTTTATTACCTGAATGTGGTGTCGTGTTGAGGTGGTGTTGGTGGAGCGAGGAGTGAGTTAGAGGCAGTTTATTACCTGATTGTGGTGTCGTGTTGAGGTGGTGTTGGTGGAGCGAGGAGTGAGTTAGAGGCAGTTTATTACCTGAAGGTGGTGTCGTGTTGAGGTGGTGTGGTGGAGCGAGGAGTGAGTTAGAGGCAGTTTATTACCTGAATGTGGTGTCGTGTTGAGTTGGTGTGGTGGAGCAAGTAGTGAGTTAGAGGCAGTTTATTACCTGAATGTGGTGTCGTGTTGAGGTGGTGTTGGTGGAGCGAGGAGTGAGTTAGAGGCAGTTTATTACCTGATTGTGGTGTCGTGTTGAGGTGGTGTTGGTGGAGCGAGGAGTGAGTTAGAGGCAGTTTATTACCTGAATGTGGTGTCGTGTTGAGGTGGTGTGGTGGAGCGAGGAGTGAGTTAGAGCCATTTGTTGCGCACTACACTGCTGAGCCTCCTGCCCCACATGAGATGATATCATACGATGGTTCCCTGTAGGTGTTCCGTAGAGGCAGCGGGACTCGGCATCTGCAAAAACGCAGTCATTCTCATGATTTTAAAATTTCAATAGATATATATTTGACTTAACTCTTTTAGAAATAAATAACTTTTGGATGGTTAAATTAAAATTTACAAAGATTAAATTGTATTAGCTTGAGATTCATAAGCTTACTTCTGGCTCTACTATCTCTCTGAAATCTTTTCAAATTGAAAAGATAATAAATAAAGTTGTGTAGTATAACTATATAATAAAGCTAGTGGCCAAGTTATAGTGCCTACTTACTTTTTGTAAAAGTGGCGATTTAATGTAGAATCTGTAGCTTTTTAATGATTATTGACATCACCATCATTACCAGTACCAGTTAAATTAATGACAGCTTTTAAATTAATCATCCTGCATACACTGGCTACGTAATACTCTAGTTACATTGGCAGGCTTTATAGTTATTAAATTCCATTTTGTAACCCCTGAACTTCGTAGTATAGACTACACTATTTAGTTGCTTAGCCCTAGTTACTTTGAAATCTAAAAAAAAAACAACTCAACTGACTATTAGCATAGACAAATAGAATAAATATAGACTGTCAAAGGAAAGTTCCGGCGCCCACCCCTTGGAGTGCTTTGTAGTTACGCGCACACCGCTGCAGGCGAGGAGCACAGGAGCCGTATGTGACCAGCTGACACTGCAGCGGTGTGCGCCGTAACTACACGGCAAACCTAGCGGTGGACGCCAGAACTTATGCTAACCGTAGCACAGCTGACGGTCTATATTCATTCTCTTTGTCTATGCTATTAGACTATTGTAATTCATACACATAGGTATATTTTCCAAATATATTAATGGTGTAGTCACCTTTCTATCTCAAAATTGGGATGTAGTGACTTATTCATAGTCATGCTATTAAATTGTTCAATAATAATTAACAATGATAAGAAAATGATTCTTTGATAACAAATAACCTCTTTTCATTAGAGCTTTCTCATTAGCAAATCGCCTAATCTGTAGCAAAACGCTTCTCAATAGCAGAGTGCCTACTCTACCTGGTGTGGAGGAGAGATTAGTAGACCCGTGTTGCTGGATATCGAGGGGGAGCTGTTCTCTTCCGGAGGTGTCACTTCTAATCCAATGCTTCCGTTCAGTGCTATCTTGATACCAGCACTCTCCGTAGACATCTGAGATGGCATGGCCGCCGGCTGAATAGGCTGCATCTGTAAAGACAAATCTGAATGAATAATAGTCATCGTTGCATCAACCGCTTCTGAGAGATTAATGCTCTCAATTAGCTCTTAATTAGGCAATTTTGTTGATTTCATACTAAGCAATCAAAATTTCAATAAAAAAAGCACCTCAATCCTTTCCTGTAGCAGCAAACTTAAGTAGGTACACATTAAAATTAATGTTATTTAAACAGGAAATAAATCTGAAAAGTGTAAGAGAATATTTTAGTATAAATCCAGTCAGGAAAATGGAAATTTGCTTAGTCTGCAGGTTTGCTGCAGCGGGGAAATTTTAATGTTAACTAAACAGAGACAACCCCTAATTCTGAGGAGTTTACCCTGCAAATCGTTTTGGATTACAATACAGTAGAACTCCGATTATCCGAATCAATAGGGACCAGACCCCATTCGGATAATCAAAAATTCGGATAATCGGAGTTTTACCGGAATTCCAGGAATTTTAAAGAAAAATCCTCATTTTCGGTACTAAGTAAACTTATAATTAATAATAATTTAAATCAGAACATTTTTACAGTTTACAATGCTCATAGTACAAGTGTTCTATACATGTTATTAAGTCAATAGTGTTCCATCAAAGTCCAAAATTGGCTAAATGTGTTTAATAACAATTCTTTGATATTTTGCAAAACTTGTTACTTTAGCTTTACGTTTTTAAAATTGTTGAAATAAGCGATTCGGATAATTGGAGATTCGGTTAATTGGAGTTCGGATAATTGGAGTTCTACTGTATATGAAAAGTACCAGTCAGAACCAATACAACAAAATATGGTAGGTAGATACAACTCAATTGATTACCAAATTGAATTTCATCCATTACAAAAATATTACATATGTAAACCATATTGACAAGTCGTCTTTTTTTGGAAAGATCTCATGTCACTAAACATACATCACAATTCATACATTCAATCCATTTTCAACACACACAATCGCTACCTGAAGGTGATAAAACTTCTATTCTAACAACACTTATTATTTAACAAGACATTTAAGCTTTACAGGTATTATATTTACAAATTATACATTGTACATTGTATTTTTAACTATGGTTTCATTTTAGTTAAATTTATTTACACTGGTTGACCTGCTTCGTCAGATCTTCCTGTTGGACTTTTTTAGGTTTTTTTCCACCCTGAATCTAACTGGCTGGGTAGCTGAGTGTTAAGTGCTCGCCTAACAATCAAAAGGTCGCTGGTTCGATTCTGAGTACATCAGTAGCTTTTTGATGGTTCAAAACTGGACCTAGCTTAGGTGTTCCCAGTTCCCATTAAATGATTGATTGCTATGTCTTCATGGAAGGCAAGATGATCTTCAATGGTTTAGCAGCTTGGATTTAGCGTTGTGATGGCAATTTCTCCTTATGCTAATTTTTTATACATCTTTGGAACAGACGAATGCAAGTACATTGTACTAAATAGCTATAAAACTTGAATCATCTGGCTGGATAAGACATACAATACATACAACACTTATGGAATTATTTTAGAATAACCGAGTGCTCTTGGAATAAAATGGACCATGGAACAAGAGTCAAACTTTAGAAAACATTGCATCAGAAAACAATTGTAAAACTTTGAGTTACCTTGAATTTCCTAATATCATAACTACTGTACGTTTATATACAACAGATGAAAAAAATCTCAGAAACTCCTAAAAGTTTGACTAACTTGAGTGCTTATTTTTAGTCGGAGAACTGAAAATGTCAGGATTTTTCTTGTGGTACTAGTGGTATGTGGCAGCGTGGTGGCACAGTAGTGGATTGAACTACAGATCCAAATTGAGAAGTAAGAGCGATTGCTGAGCGTTTATTGGAATTAAGGAACAATATACCCAGTCCCCTGGCTCCGCAGGGGGCCCACGCTTGCGTGGGTTCGTGGCCTGGGCGACCACGCGGACCCTAGCTCTCCCAGAGGGGAGGTAATTGCCCGGTGTTGGAACCGGCACTTCAGGTAGACCACAAGCTATGGACGACTGGACAAGCCAGCCTCTTTGGGTTGTACCCAAAGTGAGAGTACCCAGTGACATTCCCTCCATTCAGGGTGGTGGGGTGTTCAGGTCTGCTAGTGTTGATTAAGTTCATAGATCTTTCACCTGCCTGTAGCTCGTGGTTGTGACTGAGTCCTACCTGTTGTGTACGACTGACATTTTGTGAGGCATATCCTCGACTTTGGAAGTAGCCTCGTCCTGGGAGGTGAAATACCTAGCCCCCAGAGGGGAGGTAAATGCTCGGTGTTGGTATCGGCATTTTCAAGTAGGCCACAGACATGGACGACTGGGCATTGGGTCCCAGTGACATTCCTTTATCCAGGATGGAGGGGTGTTTAGCTCTAGGAGAGATGGAAGTGCATCATATTCTCTAACCTACCTGTGTCTGTGGTTCTTTGGGCTTCGGCCTGCTTGTTGTGTGCGACCAGCATTCAGTGGGCAAATCCTCGACTTTGGAAGTAACCTTTCCTGGAGGTGAAAACGGGCAAGTACCCGTAGCTCACGGGGACACTCAAGGGCAACGTAACTTTCCGCAGTGTGAGGGCAACGGTTTGTAGGCACTTATGCAAACCAATCCCTGTCTCTGAGCACGGACGGTATGGTTATCTTGAGTGTGGGGGGTTCTTCCCGGAACCTCAATTGAGTCAAGGGTGTCGCCACCTCTGGTGGATAGGTTCATCCGGGTGGGTCCCACTTCTATACCTGCCTCCTTTTGGGAAACCCTGATGGCCTGGCAGTGATGTTGGGTCTGACGGGCAAACGAAGTAGATCGGGTGCTGGGTCCGAGCCCGCCAGGGGTATCTGGGGATCTATCGCTCTGGTTATCTCTGGTTTCCCAGCAATGGGTAAGGCCTCGATCGGGTAGTGGTGTAAATGGGAGGTTGGGGTTCCCCCCGTCAGCGTGCTGACGGTCCCCTTCCTCCTGGCTATTGATGGCGGGTTCTGCCTGTCAGGGATTAGATAGGTCCCGAGTGTTGCTTGCACTAAATGCGTCGGGGCGCTCTACCATGGACCTCTAGGTCCCGACCTAGTGGAACCCAGGTGGAGTGACGCTTAAACAAGCAGCCGGAATCCCTGGTTAGGATTGAGGGGCAACCCTCCTTCCGAAGGGTCTGCTTCGGCAGCCGGCGAGCCTGATGACCTTAAGTCATCCGCCCATGATGTGCTAAAGGTTGATGCGTAAGCTTCGGCCTACATCATGGGGCCCGGGTATGTCCTAAAGGATAGGTACCGGGTATGCAGTCAGGGGGCTTCGGCTCTCATGACAAATAATGTAATGTAATGTAGTCCCCCGGCTCGCATGTGATGCACTATGGGCCTGAGGGATGATTGTGTCCCTCTCCCCCTGTTCCACCTAGAAGGTCCACCTTGTTTTTGTCCTTAAGAAACTTGAATCTTGTTTCTGGGCAAATTTATAAAAGCGGCCCAGAATATACCAAATCACAAGTACCTACAAAACTTACAGATCATACATTTGTTCTATATAAGGTCAAACTACATGTTTCCTTTACTATAACTCTCTGAGGCAACATCCTAATATCTACAACACCAATGGGGTTTATCTAATCAACAGGTAAGGGAATTACTCAAGGATCCGTACAACAAACACTGACTACTCCCACTTGGCAGCTACATGTTCCAGGGTCGGACCTACCATCAGCCGGCCGGTCGAACGACTCGAGGGCATCACTCGGGTACAAGTATCGAGAGAGGCTAGAGATGGAACCTCCAAAGTCAAGGTATTGGTTGAATTAAAAAAGGATGGTTGATGTCTCTGAAAAATTATGTGAACATGAAGTCGAACAGGATGATTGAAAACATACTGTTGCTAAACAAAACTTTTTACTTTTCACAAAAAGTTTAATAAATTCTGTTTAAGAAAGGATGGGACATCTATCCTCTTTTTTTGTTTTACTGGACGGTTGGTTAGTCTAAATGTAGATTAAATGGTTTTTTCGTGTTGACTTTGCCTATCTCACTGGTCATTACTATTTGATTAAATGCAAGTGAAAATATTCAAAACAAAAATTTATTTGTAAAAATGAAATGAAACTTTATTTAAACATCCAATCAAATTTAGGGCCACATGGCCTTTTTTCACACTTTACCTTACAGATCAAATTTTTTTCAAGCATGAATCAATTTCTTTTTTTTGCTTCATGCTAACTTGTTTATAAAAGAACTCAATATGAGAAACCAAATCATAAAATTATTGTTAAAAAAAATAATTTTTAGTGTTAAATGTTGTTTGCACATTATTTTGTTTGTGTGAGAGTGTTATTAGAATGACAGTGAGAAATGACATGATTAACATATAAAGTCTATTACATACTCAAATCCATCAACGGCATATTTGTTATTAAAACCCCCATTGGCTATTATGAAAATGAAATATATTATTGTCTTTGAAACACTGAAAAATATATGGAAAAAAATAAACCAATAAAACATATTTATAAATGTTGTTGTACTTGGCAACTAGTGGGAACTTACAATTCCAAAAAAAGCTCCTAAAAACTATAAAATAGTAAAAGCAAACCTTAGTAAACCAACCTTAAGCAAACCAAAGTGTCATGAATCAACATTTGTCCATAATAAATTTTCGATAATCAAATCGACATAGACAATGAAAATAATAACAAAACACTCACCGGGTAGTGAAGTCCGATGCCGATTTCCTCCAGACTGCTTTTCCGCGTCGTCTGCACCAAACCTTGGCGTAAAGAGTTGCTTCTTCTGAGCAGAATGTCGTCTACCACTCTCAGAGAATTGGACCTTCCTCGGAATGTCCCAGCGACGGTTGGACTGTCAACAAATGAGATAAACGCTGATGAAATGCTCAAGTTTAACGTAATTGGGTCTACCTTCTTTTATTTTAATGATTCAAATTGAATCGTCTCGAAACACAGCAGTTATATTTTACTTATTTTCATTGAATAGCTAAAAATATATTTAAATCTTGATGTCAGGTCTCTATAGCTAGGAAAATAGTTTACACGTCTACACCTGGTTATCTTTTCTAGATTCAGGTCTGGCACCACTGTTTGTTTTTGATCCCCAGAAGCCGGAAACACTTTATTTCAAATGTATATACGGGATATACTGTGTCAGTATCAAATCTTTGGTAAACTCAATCACTTTTGAACATAAAATGCTAGGTAAACCATCCTTAAGTAATCAAAATGATTTTTTTAAACGTAGAAAGGCTTTTGAACCGATTTTGTTAATGTATGCCCATATTAGGGGGTTAAGAAAGCAAAGGAAGTAAGTATATAAACTCCAACTTAAAATGGAAAAAGGCCACTGTAGTTTTAGTGCGACATTTTTTTAGAACCACCCAACTAGAGCCGTTCGCCTGATATGTTGGAACGTGTGTGGGAAACCATCGTGTCGATCGCCCGACTAGCCACAGTTTTTAGTAGTGACTTGTATTTGTATGAGCGAGTTGTGTTGTGAAGTTATTGCCCCAAAGTACTTGTGAACACTTGTTTTCCATAATGTCATTTAATGATAATAAACAATTCTGGTCAGAGTTCATTGAACTGTATAGAGATCTAAAGCTGTACTGGGATGTCAAAAGTAAACTGTATTGTAACAAACATGTGCGTAAAGAGGGGTACAATATCCTCTTTAGGAAAAGCGTTTTTAAAGTCTTGAGGCTCATTGATGGCGAGTACATCCAGGAGCATCATCATGAGGCTAAACTAGTTTCGCTCCAACAGCCACTGATTTGACCAACATCGCCTATTTTTCTTCTTTTAACATTTCAAACACAAAATCCAGCACAAACCTATACAGTAGTCTCAAAATCCATCTCAAAACTGATACTATACTTGACTTGTTTGGTAACATGCTCGACAGTGTGTGGGAAACACACGACATTGTCAGGTTGGATGATGGGTCTATCGTCAGGTCAGGTCCGGCAGCATGTTCGATAGTGTGTGGAGGGCTTTAATCCGTCTGTACATGGACTAAGCCAACCCTAACTTGTCTGGGTAGCCGAGTGGTTACAGTACTCACCTTCAAAATCTTCAGGTTGCTGGTTTGATTACAACATTCCAACTAAGATTGTCATGATTATTGTCATTATGATGTTTATGAATCCTGATGTTACTTGTAATTGGGCTGTCAACTAATGATTCTATCTATCAAAACTTGGACTAGACCAAGGTTTGGACCAATCCCTCAGACTATGTAAAAAAAATTAAAAATGCTAATAGTGTAAAAATACAAATAAAAAAAATGTTATATTAAATTTTCAGTTGTTTATAAATAGTTTGGTAAATCTGTCTGCTGCTCTACCTGTCTGGAAGTGACAGTGAGTTAGCCTTGGTAGTAACTAGTGGTGGGGCCCGTGGTGGAGGGAAGATGATGCCTGAGCCCCGTCTAGAGCCTGGCAGGTTGATAGCTTGAGAGCAAAAGCTGATGTTGGACTTGCGTCTGCTGTTGTGTCTCTCGAATGTTTTCTGAGCGGAGAACGGGCTCGGTCTCACCAAATAGCTGAAATATTTATTATAGAATTAGCAAAGTGAACTGCAACAATTATCACAGACCTAACAAATGAGTAAACTGAAACAGCTCTAACAGACTTATTAGCTATGATGATTACTTAGCACTAGCCTATGTAAACTGATTGGATATTAAAATACTTATATATTTTTCTACTTCCAATGAAATAAGTTTATGTTACACAATTATCAATATCAAACAAATACTACGGTAGAACCTTGATTGTTAGACACTCTCTATAGTTCCACACAGGCAGTGATGACATGGCATGTCTACAGCGGCTGATGACGGGGCCACTGAGGTCAGTAAGGCTAGGCGCACACGAGCGATTATTTTGAGGCGACTATTTCATCGGCCGATCTGTGCATCATGTATTTGAATGGAAGCGCGCACACAGGCGATCGAGAATTGCGCCGATTTAAAAATCTGGGTTTTGCCACAGATTCGTAGGCGAGGCGATTGTCGCCCAAAAATCTGTAACGTACAGGTTGTTATCAGTCCGCGCACACGATCGACTAAAAAATCGGCCAGTCGCTTGTTGTTCTCCACATTAGTCAATGAACTTCAGTGTGAGTTGTGTTGTTTTCTTTGCTAAAAAGGCCACAGCTGTTATAATAAAAACTGAAACTTTCCACATACATTCTATAGTAATTAAAGAACTTTTTCTGTCATCACGTAAAGTGTATAGTTTATAAAACTGTCAATTTAAAAGTCTCTGACTTACTATCGGATGAACCAAATATTTAAGTTGTCTTCTTTTTTTTTTGGTCTAATTAGAAGAGCACAAACACAGGTTAATTCAACAAAGTCCATTTTAGGATAGCTTAAACGCACTCAAAAAAATCAATTTCTCGACTAAAAAATCGCCACGTGTGCGCCTAGACATAAATCAAGGGCGATTTATTTTTGGCCGATTTTTAAATCGGCCGATCGAAAAATCGACCGTGTGCGCCAGGCCTAACTAGATGAGCCTTCTTATTGTTTTCGTGCACCCAAAAACTCACTACTTAAACTATCCTATTAATAAATTTTTTTCAAATATCCAAAGTGAAAAGCTGGTGAATATTACAACTATGCCTGTAAATATAAAAATAAAAATATATAATAATAAATGTATATATTATAATATATATAACATATAATATAATATTAATATAATAGGCTAGGCTATAAAATATATATATAATATAATTATACAATATATAAATACTGTATATATATTAAAAAGTTTCCATTTCCATAGTCTTATCATGCTGGTTGGCAAACTTGTTCAAATAAAAATGTAGGTTTACACGTTTAAAAAAAAATTAATTAAAATCAGATCATGTTTGTTTGAGTTATCGTGATAACTGACACATATCTAAATATATAAAAGGCAAAGCCCTCTCTCAATCACTCACTCATCACTAATTCTCCCACTTCCCATTTACCTAGGAGGCTGAAATTCGGTACACCGATTCTTTGGGCATTAAATAGGAAAACTAAGCAATTTTAATTCTGATCGGGCTTTCGGGCTCCGCCCCAGTGGCTCTGGAGTTTCCCATGTTAACCTTATGATTTTTCATATTTAAAAGGAATTTCTTAACAGCTGTTTCAATTAGTTTCAATTAAACAAGTTGGTTCTGTTCTATGATGTTCAATAGCATTAAAGTTACAAGGATTACCAACAGGGTGCAGCATTATTATTTTTTTAAATTTATGACTACAGCCAATTTGCAACCAAAAGGTGAGTGAGCGTAGCGAATGAGCTTCAACCTGGAAGCGAGTTAGCGTAGCAAACGAGCTAACCAGAAGGCAAGTGAGCGGAGCGAACGAGCTCCAACCTAAAGGTGAGTGAGCGTAGCGAACGAACTTCAACCAGGACGTGATTGAGCCATGCGAACGAGCTCACTTGTGAAGTTAAACAGGGCAAAGCCCGCGGGTACAGCTAGTGTATATATATACACATATGTATATATATGATATGTATATACATATATGCACATATATATTTAAAATATGAATTTGAACGGATTATTTTTTTTACCTCTAGGGACCTCAAAATAAAAAGTAAATCGGTCCCAGGTACTACGGTAATAGCTCTCTATTGGGAAATTCGCTAAAAAAAGAAAAGCAAATAATCAAATTAAAAATCATTTCATAGACCATAGGCGATTAACATTTAACATTCAACTCACATTATATCTCCTTCCTCCAATTTCAAATCACAGCTGGGGTTGATGATTACATAGGACAAGCTTGATCTTTTCTCACTAACATCGTCGTAATCTACCGGAGGAAGGTTTAGACTCTCCATCCTAGATCTGACGAGATTCGCAATCTCTGCTCTCTCAATCATCTCCGCATGGTTGTCCTTGGCTTCATCTCCGACGTTGATTGAGTACTGCAATACAAATTAGGATTATATGAAAATAATTTTCTGTATGTGTATATTGTCAATTCAGTATTGTTTATTGATTAGATAAAACGATAGCGATAGCAAACCAGGGGCCCACAAATGAGTAAATAATAATTTAAAAGAGCTTAGTTCCTGACTAAAACCAGTTGAATATTTTAAGAAGATATTTTTTATGGAATAATTTATTTTTGTAAAAAATACAACCGACTTCAAATGCTCTAAAAAGAATAAAATAATGTCAATAAAGTAAACTTTTGTATTAGTCAAGCTCACGTATTTTAAGTCGGCGCGGCTCTATGATGATTTTTGATACAAAATTTAAAGAGGATGTCCACATTGCAGGTGACTATCTATAACTAAAGGTGATTATAATCTTATAGTGATATTAATGAGTATCTTTAAAAAGATTATAATGTATTTACATATTTCTAACTTGGAAAAGTAACATTTTAATTTTAAACTAGCTTCTTTTCCCTATCATAATATCAAAATAAATTATTTTCCTATTCATATGGAACATTTTTGTGAGTGTTATTTTCATTATGCAATCATTCTGAAGTAAACATAAAATACAAGAAAATACTTCCTTTGATATATATAAACAAAACACTGAAACAGTTAACCTTTGACTATTAATACAGTATCAAGTCAATGCTCAAACCCAATTACTGTGTTTTATCACTTAACAAAACTAATTCTAAAAGGTTTGATTGTCATTCCCACAAGCCATGGGTATTACGGGGCCCAGTGCAAACACTCTGAGCGGGACTCTCTTACTACCAAATAATTAGTAGGCCTTATCCCAACAATATTAATGAATAAATTCTCAATGCATAATGTTAGTATTAATACTCTCCCCAATTTTCTATTTTTATAATTGACACAATTCATGTAAAATTAGGCCCAACATACTTTTAAAAATCTTTTTGTATTTGCACCATGGGCTGCCTCTGAAGCGCGGGGCCCTGTGCGGTCGCACCTTTTGCACACACCTAAGGTCGGCTTCTTTCGCCAGTTAAAAAATCATGGCATACCCGCATTATGTGATGCTACTAACATAACTCAGATAATGATGAAAGGGAATAATCTGATAGAAAAATATTCCATTCTTACATGCACAGTAAAATAATTTTTACAAAGATTGTATGGGTATACAAATTCAAAACCATCATCATTTGTTTGATGATATTTTGAAAATCATTTCTCGAAAATAAAAATACTAGGAACCTGCACGGTATTGCTGCTACCACCATTAAAAACAACAGACAATTTTCCTTCATTATTTACAGCTCACTAAATCTTATAGTTAGGAAAAGCTACTATACCAAATAATATTGTTCAATCGTTTTTAAGCTGCATGGTAAATAAACAAGTAGTAAGATATAAAGAGAGTGGTATAAGTAGTAAGTTCTACGTAAAACACGTTCCCTTGAAGATTGTGGACGTGTTACCTTTACTATCTAAAATTACCAGTATTGTTAAATTATGGCAGAAGCGATTGGAAGATGAAAATGTTATAAGAAAAGGAAGAAAAGAAGAGCCAAAACACTTACCATGGAGGCAGGGTCTCTATCAGTGGAGCCTAGGCAGTTGGTAGGAATGGCAGAGTAGGCAGAACCAGTGTTGCCAACTTCTGGTTCAGTCTGTCGCACAGTGTTACCAACATGCACACATTCACAGGCAGGACAGGAACAAGCCATGAGAGCAGCGTTAGTACAGTTAGTGGAACGCACAACACGATATGTAACAGTTAGAAATAATAATGGAATGTTAGTAAGACGTAAATGTTAGTTGGTTAGAGGAAATTTAAACCAGCAGGAAGCTGAAGATGAACAGATGAAAGTTATTTTAAACTATTTATTTACCTTCCTATATCCTTTATGTTGTTATTACTACATGTTACAACAAATTTAAAAACATCTGCACATTACTAGGCCTCACACTACGTTGCGAGCATTCATTGTAATGGTCAGACTAGTAGCGACTAGCGATGTTCAAGTTTTTTCTGTTATTATTGGTGTTTAATTTCTTCATATTTAACGTTAAATTTTATCCATGACGAATCATTCAAGAGGATATGCCTGAAGATTTGGCAGTCGTGATGAAGCTTTAGTAACAACAGCTTCATAGGATATTTTAAGGCAAATAAATATTTTATACCAAAGTATATCAATATCCCGGTGCTGGGAAATGAATTCTGACAAAAGTGAATAATGAAGAATTAAAACATCACCATACCCCTAAACTGAGGTGAAATGATATTCTTTAACCTCCACCTATGTGATATTTCTCGGAGTTGGTGATGATTTTGGTTAATTTCCTCTAGAGCATTCACAGAAGTTTAGTACTGTATGCGTTATCTATTTGGCTTTCTATTGCTGGCATTCATGTTGGTCAAACTACTTCAGTTCAACCTTATTGCCTTTTGCTAAAAGTAGGTCGTGGTCATCTCAGTTCAGACAAGGGAGAAAACCTTGGAAAGTGTAGGATGAATTGTTGATCCTATTTTAAAACACTTATGTCTGCAAGCTGGTCAGTAACTTTTAACTTGTTGGATGCGATTGGGAAACGTATATAAGTACGGTATACTGCTGGAGCAGGATGCAGAAACTGATAAAAACATATTATGTTCTAACCAGTAGCAGAGCCACAGTATAGTGTTGTACTAATTGGAAGTGTTTAGAAATTTAGCTATGAAAGAGTTTAGCAGGTTATGGGACAGTTAAATACTTAGTAAAGTAACCAAATGTGGAGAAACAGTTTAAAACAAGAGTTATTCGATTACTTCTGTATCTGTAAAATGCACGCAAATTGCATAATTATAATCCAGTAAACCTCCAACAGCAAACACGTTAAATCTCCTTCAAAACGACTATAACCAACCGTAAGCTTAAGCAAGGTGTGCCGTGATTTTGTAAAAAAGTCCATGTTTTTGGTAGCTATACAGTTTTTTTACCACCTGTAGAACCAAAGTTGTAGATGCAAGCTGAGGATCTCGAGTAGAAATAGATGAACGAGATGTAAAATTGAAAATTGGTTTAGTTAAAAGTAAAATAAAACATGCTAAACAAAATCTAAACCACTTACATGTGGAGATCCTGTTGTGGTGGTGTCTTGAGTTCTGTAGATGCCGATGGGGATCTCACAAGTAGTTGAGCACAGTTTCTGGTAGAGTCTTCCATATGTTCGGATCCACATGTCATCTTTTGTGATCTTCATCTAGAGAAAGTAAACACTCATCATCAGCTAAGTGCTCTCTTCATCTAGAGACCCATTAGGTTTGTTTAGACTTTTCACAGTGATCAACTCTTGACTTTTTCATCAGGAGGAGATCAAAGAAATTTATTTCGACAAAGTCCGAATGGGAGAAAATTTTGACCCAAAAGGGTGTTCACATCAACCCCTGAGGTCTAGAGTAGCCCAATGTACAAGCATCTACACGTAAGGCTATTTCGAACAAAACTAAAGGGTTTTGTATTAACTTTGAACATTCACTAGAGGTCTTTTGTGGGATTGACGGACATAACTATTTACTGCAACCATTGGTTATTAAAAATTCCGTTAAAACCTGAATTTTGTGAATGATAAACAAAATCATTTTTCATTGTATTTTCAGTTGGCCAAGGGACTGGCCATAACTTAACCAGGAAACACTAGGAAAACATCTAAACTCCATTTTAGGCAGTCAAACACTATCTTGAGAATATTATAATCTAACAAAAAACCACAAAGTGGTAACACTTTCCCCGCCAAGTCAGCAATCCAAAAAAGATAATAAATCATTACTTTTTCCGCCAAGAAAAACAATGTAATGTATGTAAGTTTGGCAACTTGGCGGCAGACTTTTGCTTGGTGTTTTTCATTAAAGTTACGTTCGTGGATAGTTTCACAAATCAATTTCTCTAATTAATTAGTCCAACTAAGTATAATAATTTCGAGGTAATCAGTAAATATAAAACCATCACTATTATGATTTTATGAAATGTGGCACAAATAAGGTCAAATTTTGTAAAATAAGCTCTCACCTAGCAATGTACTAATGGGAGAGATACTTGCTCAATGAAACTATTTTTATGGTATTTTTTTAAAGTGATCGAGCAAAAGTCTGCCGCCAAGTTGCCAAACTACATACATTACATTGTTTTTCTTGGCGGAAAAAGTAATGATTTATTATCTTTTTTGGATTGCTGACTTGGCGGGGAAAGTGTTACCACTTTGTGGTTTTTTGTTAGATTTTATTTATTTTTGTAGAAAATTAACAGTTAAAATATCAGCTTCAAATTTCATCAATGGTCATCTTGAACAACATAAAATGCGTTGGTGTTACATAAGTGTTCGTTCTGATAATTAAACCCGTAGGTATATCTAAGGACTAGTGTAAATTGAGCCCTTATTAGAGAAGTAAAAATGTAATCAAACAGATTATGATTGTTAGACATAGCACAAGACAATCAAATATTGAAAAACTCATTTATCCTAAATTTACATATAACTTTTTAATTGCTTGTTTAAGATACGTAGAGTGAATTTCCCGATTGTTTTAGTGTATCAAAACATAAAACAAACCTAAGTCCTAGTACTAAGTTTCAAGTTCCTAGGTTTCATATGTGTTGATAATTAGTATTAAACTGTTGAAAATGACGAGCTGCTGTACCAGTGTACCATCGGTACACCGCATTTTTCAATGGAAAGTATCGGGGAATATCACTGCTCTAAGTAATTTTATATAGTAAGTAGTTCAAATCATTCGGTATACCTGAAAAAAATACTTTATAAAAGTTTTCAAATAATTTGTCAGCTGTTCCTATGAATTTCTCTAACATTGAAATTAATTGAGATTTAATCGCAGCTGGTCCTTCTTTTGTTCTGATTTTAATCCAATGTCATTTAAATGGGCCAAAATCATACTTTGAGGGCTTGCCAAGGGTTTATGGGTCATCTCACCGACTTGAGACCCTCAAAAGGCACATCTACACGTTAAGGGCTTTCAAACAACATAAAGAACATTAAAATTGAGCCAGTGGTTCGGGCTGTATGTCCGTCAACATTCAAGGAGAAGGAGGAGAAGGAGGAGGAGAAGGAGAACACGGAAAATTTGTGAATTTTCAAACTAGTTTTTCTTGGCTCAAACACAACCGTTTTTTAAATTCTTTTTTAAATTTTGTTGAGAATGAGTGCCCCTATCCAATAGATGGACAATTATTTGAATAGCTTTTGTTTCTTCAGAGCTATAGACGAGTAAAAATGCCACTTTGTCACATCATGTATATATACACTGCAGCAGCTGTGTACCGCTGGGGGACTTGGCGGGGCGGAACGCTGCCGCGTTCCTTAATTTAAGTCTTCGATTGTAAGTATCATTCGAGTGTCTCAATGACCTTTCACCCATCACATGACAACCTCTCTCCATTCTTTGTTGTTCATGAGAAACATTTTCACGACACTTCACTTCAACACTATCAGAAACACAAATAACCCTACACTTTAAAAAAGGTATTTCAACCATCACTCTTTTCTAAGATCAGATTTATGTCCTTACTCCTGTGTATCAATCTAAGTAGCTGATCGTCATTGCCATGTTTTGATTGGAAGCTCCTGTTTGGATTTGTTCAATAGTACTGTTATATAGTATTAACAGTAGTACTCTCTTCACCCAAGCAGATACTTACCGATGTAAGGAACCCTGAGCCCGGGGCTTGGTCCACGCCCAGTAAGAGCCTGACAAAGGTGATAACGTAGTCTTTGACGAAGGCTTGGTAGAGCAGTGTATCCAACATACTAGCACTGAACACCGACCCGGCGGCGAACGGAAGGCGGAACATGTAAGAGATGTGGGACCCTCGCTCCTTCTCTCTCTACATCATAAAACTTCCGTTAGTAACATATTTTTTACTTTGATTTTAGGCTGGTAGTCATTAGAAGTTTTTTTGGCAACCAGAAGCACAAAAACATAGGTTTTTAGTAGAACCCTTAACAAATAGTTGTACTTATGTGCAGAGTCAAATTTAAATTTAATTTTTAGAAAGTTTTAGTTCTTTTCAGTTTTTTGACTAATTGGTGTAAAATGGTGTAATCTTCAGATATACAACATAACCGTTCTATTTTAGAACAGTTCTTTTAAATACCAAATGTTCCACAAGAGCACAAGAGTTATTCTTTTGTCATTTGACAAAACATTCTCGCGAGCCACAAAATATGTTTCATAAAAACTATCAAAAGCCAAACAGTATGCTAGCACTCACACAAGTCATCCAAAATTCTAAAAAAAGTCATGCCTAACAAGCCAGTACTGTGTATAATATTTACAGTATTTAACTATTATAAAAAGTTCTTTACACTTTACTTTCAATGTAAAGATTTGACTATATTTTTTTTTTAAATAATTGATTCTCAAAAAGTAAAATCAATTTATAACCAATTATTAGCTTAAAAGATATATTATTCTTTAATGATTATAAATCCATGGAGAGCAAATGAAAGAAACTTCTTATAACACTTAAAACACATATTTACGCTTTTACTGTTACTCACAATACAGTAAATAAACATAAAAGATGGTAAGTGGTGATCGATTTCGATTGGACACTCCAATCATCATCAGACGCAATAGGGGAATGCCAATAATCTTAAATGGCGTCCCTTATATCCTATTCGCTGGCGGAAGTACCGGCCAATACATTTCTATAAGTACTACTGGAGTCCCTTTGCGTGCTGCTCTACAATCAACAGTAAATCTATCTATCCAACTATTCACAAGACCGCATCCTTTAGATCCATATTGTACCGAGCGTATACAATCCCACTTAGCCAAGCCAATAGGAAAAAAGAACTGGACACTATTAAGAAGATCGCACAAGTTGATGGATTTCAAACCAAAACCATAGAGGACATCGCAAGAAAGACAAGGAGAAAAATCAATAGCCAGAATAAACTACACAGCAGAATAACATTAGAAGAGATGAAAGAGGAAAACGCCAGATATGTCACATTTAGCTACACGGGGACTACAACACAAAGGACTGCTAACAGATTCCAGAAATACGGAGTTTCAATAGCCTTCAGAACTCAGAACACCATGAGTAAAATACTGCATCCTAAAATAGAAGATTATAATAAATTCAATGCTTCGGGCATCTACAAAATCAATTGTAACAATTAAACAATTGTGATATCTTCTACATTGGGCAAACTGTGAACTTCGTTAACCACTTCAAAAACCACATATCTGCATGGAGGAACAACAAACTGGAAAAATCAAATGTTGTACAGCACCTGTTACAAAATGGCCATGCAATAGGAAAAATGGAGGATAGTCTATGTATTTTAAAGAATTGTAAAAAAGGATATGTAATGAATGCTTGGGAAGAATTATATATTTATAAGGAAAAATTTAAAAATAGAAATAAGCTAACTAATTAACAAGTACGAGTAAATTTCGACTACAGTTGTACTTATAGAAATGTATTGGCCGGTACTTCTGCCAGCCAATAGGATAAAAGTAGGGACACCATTCAAGATTCTTCTCATTCACCTATTGGGTCTAATGATGATTGGAGTGTCCAATCGAAATCGATCTTCACTTACCATCTTTTATGTATATTTACCATCTTGTGAGTAACAGTATAAGCATAAATATATGTTTTAAAGTGTTATAAGACGTTTCTTTTATTTACTCTCTGTAAATTTAATAACACGTACAATGCTGATCAAAAAGTTATCTATCTATATAAATAAATTTGATTATAAATCCATACAACCTTTCACATTTTCAACTCTTTGCAATGATAATGGCACTCTTTGAAAAGAAGAATTGTATGCTAAAAATAATAATATGACCTTCATCTGTGCACAGTGGCAGGTTCAAAGAGGGGAGGGGCTACATGGGCTTAAGCTCCCCTATAGGACCCTGAAAAAAATTATACATTTCATCCTCAACACGTAACAGAGGTTTTTAGATACAGTTCTAGACGTAAAATATGGATTTATAAAGTTACCAAACGGCTTTACAAAAACCAAATTTTTCAGGGGAAGACCCCAAAATCCCCTTCTTCTCTTGCGAGTGTGGGACACCCCCCCGTAGTCCCCCCCCTCACTACAAGGGCCTAGAACCGCCACTGAAGTGCAGAACTTAGTCTAATTAAGTAACTGATTTGATAGTTTTTCGTATGATCTATTTATCTATTATTTTTTTAAGATAAATTATTAGAAACAATAGATTTAAAAAGTTAAACCATACACTCAGTGTGAATGAGCCTGAAGAATGAAAAATGAAAGTAACTAACTGAAACATGACACACTAATAACAACAATGATAATGAACACAAGTACAATATCAATTTGTAAATTGGCCCCCTAAGAGAACAGTTTCAGCCCTGTTTAATTTATAATGCATTTAAACAACTTTAAGTTAAAAATCTTTGAAAGTTAACGAGCAATTAGAAAAACTTCAAGCAAATATACTCCATGCTGAAGAGACGTTTAAGATAGGCAAGTTGAAAGCATTTTAAAGATAATAAATTTTGTAAAAATGTTTTTAAATAAAATATTAAAGGAAGACAACTCTAAGAGTTTATATATAATAAGAAGTTTCTCATATGCATAAATCAAGTACAAAAACAAATTAAACTTAATTTGGTAGCCTATTTAAATTATCTTTAGCAATATAATTTCATTATTTTTAGCGTGTATAATAAGATAGAGGAAAGAATCACTACTTGCAGGGTAAAATCATTGATTTTGGATACTGAAAGTATATATACCACCCATATAAACCAGTTGTAGCCAGTATTTCACTCAGCAAAAACATATTTACTAGTAGCCGATTAGGAGGTGAGACAAAATCAACAATGTTGCCAAGACGCCAAGTATAGATTGTGCTGTAAATAGGTTTTTGTGAGAAAGGGTACAACCACCATTATGATCCATTGTATGTTGGTAAACAAATACAATATGGAGAAAAGTAATATAGACCCAAACAAATGGGTAAATATGTGTATTTTAAAAAACAATCGGCTGCAGGTCATTGGTCCTCATCAAGACAGTTATTCAAGTTGAGGAAACTTTTTTCACTGATTGTGAGTACTACACTGTTGTCCTTGATTCATCCAAGTTCAGCAATCTCTCATTAATACATATTGCGGTGTATGTAAAACTTCCCTAACTTTCACTAAATGAAATACAATTGATGAATAACTGAAGCTGGTTTACCATAGAAAACATGGTTCAATTGTTTCTGGCCACTCCTAATTAATCCAGCATCTTTCCTTTCAAACACCTCTCCATTTCTCCCCATTCACATCTGTCAACTGGCGATTTACATTAAAAGGGCTTCTCTAAAAGAATCTGTACATGGTGTAAATGTAACCGCAGAACACAATTCATAACTTGACGAAATCGTTGATTTTCCCTCACATCGCTGAAAACGAAAACGATGATGAAACCAATTATCACATAGGGGTTCGGCTATAATAGTAGTCAGAAAAGGAAAACACAAGTGTCATATTTTAACTAACTTGCTTGGCTGCCACTTTAATTTCTTTATTCAACACGGGTAATTTATGATCACTCTAAAACTGGCAATACGTTTATATGGATGGAATGTCTACTTCACAGAAATATGTCTATAGTCAAAGGTAAAATGCAAGGGCTATAGTGCAGCTACTCAGGGGACCTTGATGATATATAGGTTACCAGATCATAATTGTCATAAAGGCCGGGGGCAGCCTTGGAGGGTGGGTCCAATCCAAGTACCTTTTCCATTTTGGAGAGATGAAGGGCGTAGCGGTCGTGAGCTCGGAACTGCATAAACCTCATGTTTGAGGACTGGGACAGCTCGGTTATACTCTTTATGCTTGGGAAAAATCTGAAAAATTCAAAGTGCAGTTAGATATTTTTAACTACACTAGATGAAAATTGTCACTTGTATCCAAAACAAAACAATGAATGCATACATTTTTCAGTACAGTTTTGCTCATCCAACTCAGCTGTTGTATGGTCACACAAACAGAAATAAAATTGAATAACACAGAAAATATGAAAGGATATATAGCCCTTTCAGACCAGGGAATCTTTGTCATCTCGACCACTTTAAGTCCTGAGCAAATTTTGAATAAATGTTGGTTTTTAACCTAGATTTCAAATACTAAAATTATGGGTCTGACTTAGGGGAGGTACAAATGAGGCATTTAGTTCAAAATTCCTCCGCGAACAGCGCTGTAGTAGAGAGCACTTTGGCAATGAAGGTTTACTAATCGCAAAAATAGTTCTGTTAATAAAATAAAATTATAAATGCCTCAAATTCAATTTTACTATTTTTTAATTATAAAATTAAACTATCATAACCTAACCGAACTAACCAAACTTGCTGATAAAGAAATAATATAACAAAAGTTTAGTAATCGGAAAAATAATTCTGTTTATTAAATAAAAATAGAAATTGCTCAATTAAAATTTTATAATGACTTAATAATAAAATTAAACTGTAATAACCAAACCAAACCAACCAAACTTGCTGATAATAAAAAAATCTTGGACAAAAAGTTAACGTTACCAGCGGGATTCGAACCCGGGACCTACAGTATATCAGCCCGGCACGCTAACCAATAGACCACCGAGGCCGATGGCTGTTGAACGTTTTGTTACGGTAATGGCGTTCCCTCAGCTAATAAGAAGATCTCAGCTGTCATCGTAGCCTCTTCTATACCTCCCCTGAGTAAATACCTAAAATTATTGATTAGTTTTGCTTTAAAGACGAAACCTTCATAATACCATATTAACCATTTCAGTTTCAGCGATAATTAGCATTATATACGTTTAAAAACATAAATAAAACAGTCATTAACCTTAACAGTTGCCTCTTTCTCCTATCTTAAAGTGACATTGCAACAAAACAATCAGTGTTACCATAAGACATGAAGGCAGACTGCAAAACAAAAATTCGCAGCTGATCTCCATTACCTACACAATCGATGCGTACAGGTCTGAGCAACAGAAAGATTCGGTGGGACACACGGGAAGGACTAAGGCTAACATATCTTGTAGTGTAAGCGTTCGCCGCTAGAACCGCTAAGTTGAAAAAATTTAAATTAATTTTTAAAATTTTTTGTTATAAAATTAACTTTTTAATTATAAAATAATTTTTAATAAATTATAAAATAAATTTTTATTTTAAAATTAAACTGTCATAACAACATAACCTAACCAACCAGACTTGCTGATAAAATAAAAACTATATAAAATAAAAATCTAATTATTATAAAATTAATTTTAAAATGTAGTATTATAAAATTAAACTGGCATAACTTAACCTAACCAACCAAACTTGCTGATACTATAAAAAAGATATAAGATAAAATTTGAATAAAGGTTCAATATTTAAAACAAAGTTCTGTTCATAAATAAAATTATAAATGTATCAAATTCTAACAAAAGATGTACAGTTAAGAAGTATTTACATTTTAAGCAAAAATCGTTGACAAAAAGTTAATGATCCCGGTTGGTTTCGAACCCAGGCCCTCCTGAACACCGATCCAAAACGCTATCACTTATGCCACGAACGCCGCTGAAATCACATTGTCTCGTTACGGTAATCGTGTTGCCTCAAGAGAATACATTAGCCACTAGAGATATGACGTCACTACACCTTTAGCCTTAGTCCCTCCTGTGTGCCAACTCCCAGAAAGATCCAGAAACTTAAAAAAAACAAATAAACATCTAACCTACACAATCGTGTTGGTTAGGTTGTCAAGACTTAAAAATTTACCTACACAAATGAGTGTGCTGGGTCTGAAAGGGATAGGAGAGACAGGGCCGTTATTATAAATAGGCCTGGGGGCAAGAGGTTTTAGGTTTGATGAATGGCAAGGATGAAAACAAATTACCTTGTGGGAGGTGGAGAGTGGCACAATTACCTCTTGGTCTCATAGCGTATCACATACAAACCGCGAGCATGAGGAGAGATGTGTAAATGGTATCAAGTAAAACCCTAAACTTTCCACTGAACTCTAAACCTAAAATTCCTAAACCTAAACCTAAAAAGTAGAAGATAATGATGCTCACTTGAACATGGTTTGTACAGCCACAATAGTGTTGCAGTCAGCTAGTGTGTCTTCCTCGGCAGAGTTGGAAAGCTCTTTGTTGACAACCACAACATTCTCTGCCAAGGTAATACCAGCTCTCAACAAGTCATCAAGGCTATAAAAAATGAACCTCAATAATTAAAAGCTTTGAGTATTGATACAATATCCAATAGTATTTAACATCAGTAGGCTACGTCAAATAGTCAATTTATATTAGTAAATATATTATTGGTTTTGTGTAAAAAATATAATTTGATTTTACAGATAATTTTTTTCAAAGAAACAGGATTTGGATATTTGTTGACTATTGATTATCTAACTGTAAAATTTTGTAAAAAATGGGAATTTTTTAAGGAAATTTGGTTATTTAAAATAGGTTACTATAAATTTATACAGAGAAAGGAAGGATATACAGCTAACTCACCTAAAGAAAGAGTCCCAGGAGGTAAATAGAACACATATAAGCAACACATTTAACTGAAATATCAGTTAAATGTGTTATTTTCCACTTCCAGTAAAATCTATATGAAAAGTATTGTCATAGTCTCCTCTAATAAAAAAGGAGACAAAAACGGCAACCTCGCTGTCCCGGCAAATCAAAACTTGCACTGATTGATAATGAAGCATATAGGGGATAAGCAATATTTATGTTTACAGTTTTGTGATTTCTGTTAACAATCACCATGGCATTGGGCATGCCATTGCGACACTGCCACACACCAACCAACGCCACGACCTTGTATTAGAGGATGCTATGGCATTGTCCATCATAATGCACACTCAGAAAAAAATCAATGAAATTAAAACCAAACTTCTTAAAAAAAATTTTCTAGTGAAGATTGCTTTCCAATTTCAAGTCCTGATACCTGTTTTCAGTCTTTTCTCTCCCCTCAAAACAAATTCCTGCCTACAATCTCATTGATTTAGAAAATGAAGAAAAAGATCAGAAAACATAAACGTAAAGTTTTAATAAGTCAATAAATAATTTAATATTCCATTTTAGCAATTTCATATTGTTTAAAATATAGAGGTAGAAAATCAACTGTGGTAGTTTTGTTCACTCCGTATCTCACCTACCCAACTTCCAACATTTGAAACAGTCAACAGAACTCAAGCTCCAGCGCTCCAGCTAGCCCAGAGAGGATCAACTCACCAATCTATGGAACCCAGCATCCAGTAGATGAGGGGGAAGTAGGAGACTGCGTCTAGGAAAGCAATGTCCGGTCGCCTCTCCAGCAACAGTATGATTGGATTGAGGGATGTTTTTGTCCGGAAGTGAGCTCTGAGCGGGATGATAAAGTTGTAGATTCCATTGCTAGCATAGTCCGCAGCCAGTATGATGGTCTTGTTCTGCCAGTTGTATTCTTTGGCGTTTCTATGAGTACAATGCTCGCACACCTGGGTTAACGCACACATATGAGCACGCATATGGTTAATTTTTAGACATGTAGTTGAAAAATTGAATCACAGGATCTCATTGTGAATTATCTGCATACTTTTCTTGCTATTGTCATTAATTCACCTTTTTAAATGAAAACGTTTATGAACTATTATTTGAATTGAAGTCTTTGCAAATTTCTACTTACTTTTAAAGTTTTAAATCCCAACTAACACAATTCTAATTAAATTTTCAAGATCTTTTCAGTACATATAATGTTTCAAATATAATGCTTCTAACTGTTCTAGGTTTAATTGAGAATTTCTGTGTTACCGTTACACACAGATATTAATAATCCGTATTTTAGCGAATTTCCCTATAGGGAAGTAGCTATTACCGTAGGTGGCATGGTAAGACCTAGGCCCGGGACCGATTTACTTTTTCATTTTGATGTCCCCAGAGGCCAAAAACACTATTCGTTTAAATTTTTATATATGTATATATATATATATATATAGATTTATATATATATATATGTGTCCGTGAACGCGATAACTTGAGTAATTTTTGTCCGATTTTGATGAAATTTGGTTTAAAGGTGTAAGGCGGGATAAACTTGAATGAGTTCGCGAACCAGCAAGATCGGACCATGGGAACGGGGTCTTACGGGGGGTTTTATGGGGTAAAAATTGGGTTTTCTCATTTTTGACCCTCAAAACGCAAAATTTCCCAATTTATTTCTAGACCTTTTTAAAGAGCTTAAAAAAACAAATAGTTTAGTATATCAAAGTGTTTTTGTACGGTTTTTGGTAACGGAGAAAATTTAAAAAATTGAAAATTGAAAATTCCTATGTTATTCTTATGGAGAATATTGTAAAATGTTATAATTTGCTTGTTTATGGATATATTTTGATCAAACTTGGCAATTTTATTTATTTTATACTAAGCTATTAATATTTTACTAAAAAACACATTTTATAAACCCCCTAGCAGCAAACCTTGGTACTTGTTAAACCTAATGTAATTTAAATAGATTTAATTGATAATCAAATGGAAATTCGCTTAGTCGGCAGGTTTGCTGCGGCGGGGGTATTTATATTTACTTGTGTGAAATGTCTTATAAAAAACAATGTTCCATACTCCAGTTCTATTGTATTCCAGCATTTTTTTTGTCAGAAAGTATAATAATTCAATAAAGTAACAGTTTCAGAGTACAGTAAATCTTTTCAAGAAACAAATGGACAGAAAAATAAATCTAACAAAAATGATTCACCGAAAAGCAACCTAGCTCAGAGATAAAGCATTCAGGCCAATACACCCTTAATCAATCTAATTAGTAGTTATACTGTCCCTTCCAGTTGTCACACTCATCTATATTATCTAGCGCCACCTAATAGTGATTGTGAAAATGTATTTAAACAATTTTAAATTTATATCCGAGTGGTTAGTGTCTTGGGCTCGGTGCAAGAGAGATATGTTAATCCTTTCCATATCCAGACAAATTTGACAGGTTCGAAACATTTCCCATCAACAATTCGGCGATTCTTCTTCACAAACAGCCACTGGTTTAGACACTAACAAAGACACCTAAAGTTATTAAAAGCAATAATTACCTGTGCGAGCTGAAGGCAACAAAGTGGTTTTTTCTCCTTTAGGAGATAACACAGGGTAGGACTAACCCCTATGTAGGGCGAGACGGGTGGGAATCCTTTCACAATGCTGCAACAAACGAGCAAAACGTACAGACAAATGTTAACAGAGTTACAAAGTTAATGTAATTGGCTTAAACTTGGTCATGATGCTATATGACAGAGTAAAAGAAAATCACTAAATCAGTGAAATGAAAAAACTTCAATCATTACAAACAACCAAAGTAGATTTTACTGCAGAGGCCTTTGTTTTACATGTAGAGTACATACTAGGTTTTGTCAGAGATGTTACAATCAAACTTAGACAAAATATAAGATTCCCTGCCTGTTGTAGTTAATGTAAGGTTAAAATTTTCTAAGGAATAAAAAAAAGAGACTCCTTCTCACTGAATGATTATTGAAAGCCATTAAAATAACATTTCTATTTTACTAGGTACTTTTGAATGAGTTTTTTTTTTGTGGCGTAGAATTACAATGTGCAAAATACACTCTTGACCGAATCACAGTTCATGTTAAACAGTAATATAAATATTTTACTGAATTATTATTTCAAAAATTATTATTACTAATTAAAATTAAAATTAATTAATTAAAATTAAAATTAATTAATTAAAATTAAAATTAATTAATTAAAATTAAAATTAATTAATTAAAATTATTATTACTTAAAATAGTGGGGAGAATTTCTAATCTTAAGTTAAACTGACTAAGATTTATTATGTGACAGCAAAATAAATATAGAAAGGTAAAAAGTATATCCAATAAACAAATATATTTCAAGCAATAAGAGCAAACAGGACTAACAAAAAATGCACAATCATGCTCAGAAGATGTTCAAATGCACACAGCTGTGAAAAAAGACGATGAAAATATGTACACTAAAAATCATCTAACAGGAAAAGTGAGTACGAGTGATTTATACAATTTTATTATATTGTGAATACTGAGTTTAAATGGCATCCTGAGATTTAAGATGCAAAAAATTGCAAAAATGTATGTGATTGACTGGGTTCTTATAGTTCTTCATTGTAGACTATCATAGATTATGGTATTCTAAGAAAATTATTGACATTGTCCTTAAGGACGAACAAAAAATTGTTCTGACTATCTATCTTTCTATAAAGACTCGGAATCTACGATCTATGTAATTCGGAATGAACCATGTAGCAATTGTAATTTATGTTTCAATCTATGATGTGCTTTAATAACTTTTGAAAAGAAGGCTTTGATTCAACATTTACTAAAAGAAAGATTTTAACAGGTCTTTCGAACATGAAATAACACTTAAAAACAGACAGTAGGTATGTCTTAAACATGACATAAAAATCGCCAATAAATATTTAAACTTTAATCCTAAATTGGCTCATTTTTTACCTTACTCGATCTGCTATCAATACAATTTAACATTTAACATAACTGATTAAAAAATTACTTCATGATAAAAAGTATTTAATTTAGACAAGTGTACTACTGGCTACTTAATCCTACGATTTAAAGCTCCTCTCTTTAAAAAAAACCCTCATATCGAATTATAAAATAAAATATATATGAATGCAACAAACTCAAAGGTTTGCAATGGTATACAAAATTTAACATTCATGTGAGTAGTGAAAGCACAATATTGTGATTTGGCACAAAAAAGCAAAGCAGCTGTTTTGTGAACAGGAATCATGTTTCAGCTGAACTAATATTTAAACAAATTTGTATTATTTATGCTAAGATAGGCAAATTACTCTTTTGCTTAACCTGAAGGTATTTCGTATGAACTAGATTGATATATAAGCATGGCAATGTAAGTACCTTAAGTAAAATGACAAACAAATCATTTTACTTATTAATTCTTGTTGTATGAATGAAAAATAATATTATAAATTCCTTCTAATTTTTTTCATAAATGAATAACTTAATGGGACTTAGTTTGTCTCATATGGTGGTGAATCGGAAAATGAACAGCTATACACAGAATTTACACTTAACCGGGGTAGTGAAACAAATTTAAACAAGGGAAGGTAAAATATAGGTAATACTGGACTTGGATTTTGAAAGGAAAAAGTATTAACCAAACAATACTGTCAACAAAAGTTTTTCAAGAGCAAAAAATACCTTACAAAATAAATTAGTAATTTCTGCAAAGTAAATATTTTTTTGCTTACAATTTAAAAACTTCTGCAACTGAAATGCTTTTGACTTAGGTAAAAACAGTCCACTAGATAAGTATAGCAAAGACACATCTAGTTTTTGAGCCAGGCCAATCTTGAGAAAAACCAATAGCAGCTATTTGATGGGTTGGAACTGGGCCCAGTTGTTATTCTTAATCTTGGGCTTTATAAAAAAGATCCTTTCTAAAGAAACATCAGATATTAGACAGTAATAAAACTACATCCCCTAGTCAAAACTAGGGGACATATTTATATCAAACATATTTACCCTATCAACATATTGTTATGTAATATGATTCTTTTTGTACTGTCAAATATTTATTCAGCTGTTTTATTTAAGACTGTTTTGTTTATGTATGTAATGTTTACAGTTTTGTGCAATTCTCTCATGTAAAATGTAGCTGACTATTAAGTTGAATAAAACCATATAATTTGGTTTCTAAACATTTCTTTTCATAACAATTTATTCAACTTAATCTTTTAACTATATTATTACAAGTTCTTCTATACAAGTTGTATTCTATCTTTTCTATTCAAGTTTATTCCAAGAAATCTAAATGGATAAATTCTTCAAGCCGGAGCGCCTATCTTTAGACCCTAATGATCCCCATTCTGATCGTCAGTGGAAACATTGGAAAACCACTTTCAAGAATTTCGTGGAAGAAATATGTGCTGCAGAAGATGATCTACTAAAACTTCTAACTAATTTTGTGGACTACAACATACATGAAATAATCTCAGAGGCTGATTCTTATACTGAAGCTATATCTATTCTTGACAAACTCTTTATAAAGCCTACTAATGAGGTATATTCACGTCATCAACTGGCCACTAGAAGACAGGAACCTGGAGAAAATATTGATCAGTATCTTCGAAAACTAAAAGAACTTAGTAAAGCATGCAACTTTAAATCTGTCACTGCTAATGAAAATCGCAACGAGTACATAAGAGACGCTTTCATTCGAGGACTAATATCACAGTCCATTCGACAAAGACTTCTTGAAAATCTAACTTTGACTCTTGAAGAAGCTTATAATCAAGCCATTACCTTGGAATCAGCTGAAAATCAGGCGGTTTCATATATTTCAAGCCCTTGTAACTCTATATCTCAGTCAACTCCTAAAGATGTTGATGTTACTGATACAAATGTTTCTCAGGCAGCTTCTGATTCGTCTTCACACCAATTATCTTCGATAAGAAGAGAAAAATGTTTCTTTTGTGGACGGTCACGACACTCTCGAGCCAACTGTCCTGCCAAAGACTCAGTTTGTAATATTTGTGACAAGAAAGGCCATTGGGCAACAGTTTGCAATTCTCGCAACCAAAGTAGGACATTTAAGGGTAAAACAACTCAAAGTGATAAGACAGAAATAAACTCAATGTCTTCTTCTCTTGTTGCTGCCTCACAAAAATGTCTTTCAAAAGCTACAGTGTCACTGATGTTAAACGGCAAACCAGTAGATGCACTCATTGATACTGGGAGTTCCGACAGTTTTATATCTGAAGCTACTGTGAAAAGATTCAATATTTCTAAATACCCAACAAAGCATGAAATATCGATGGCATCAACAAGTCATGTTTCATCAACTCTTGGCCACTGTATTGTTGACATGGTGTGCGATGGCCACGAATACCCACTGACAAAGCTGCTCATCTTAACTGATTTATGTGCCGATGTTGTAATTGGACATGACATCCTTCGGCAACATTCTGCTGTGGAGCTGAATTTCGGTGGTAAACGCCCACCCTTCAATGTTTGCAATCTACTTAGGGCTAAAGTATCACCACCACCACTGTTTGATAATCTAACTAATGACGTCAAGCCTGTAGCCATCAAGTCCCGCCGCTACTCTGAAGATGATAGTAAGTTCATAAAAAGTGAAGTAAGTAGGCTTATATCAGAAGGAATAATTGAACCGAGTAAATCACCTTGGAGAGCACAAGTGATTGTGGTCAACAATGGGCACAAGAGACGTCTCTGTATTGACTACTCTCAAACCATCAACAAATTCACACAGCTTGATGCCTACCCTCTACCTCACATTGAATCATTTGTCTCTAAGCTTGCTCAATACAAAGTGTTCAGTACAATCGATCTGAAGGAGGCATATCACCAAATACCTATTCGGAATGAAGATAAACCATTCACTGCATTTGAAGCTAATGGGAGACTTTACCAATACACTCGAATTCCTTTCGGCGTAACTAATGGTGTGGCGTGTTTTCAAAGAACTATTGATCAGATTATAGAAAATGAAAATCTACTAGACACGTTTGCTTATCTGGACGATGTAACTATTTGTGGTCGTAGCCAAGCAGAACACGATCAAAACCTACAGAGATTCATGGAAGCAACTAAAAAGTATAATCTTACCCTGAACAAAGAAAAATCTAAGTTTTCGTTGACCAGCATTCCAGTTCTGGGGTACATTGTAGAAAACATGTCCATGCGTCCTGATCCTGACCGCCTGCAATCACTCTTGAATTTCCCCGTTCCAACTGATAATGCAAGCCTTAAAAGAGCTCTTGGCATGTTGTCCTATTACGCAAAGTGGATTCCTAAATTCTCTGAAAAGGTTCATTGCCTTACTACAGTCAAATCATTCCCAGTAGGCAGTAAAGAAATATTGGCCTTTAAGACATTAAAAGAAGAAATAGCGAACTCCAGTATGTCTGCAGTTGAAGAGAATATTCCATTTACTGTAGAAACAGATGCATCTGAATCAGCTATAGCGGCTACCCTTTCACAAGCTGGAAGGCCAATATGTTTCTTTTCAAGAACCCTAACTAAGAGTGAACAACATCTACCTGCTGTGGAAAAAGAGGCCCTCGCAATATTCGATTCAATACAGAAATGGAGGCATTTCCTGATTGGAAGACGGTTTAAATTAATTACAGACCAGAAATCTGTGTCATATATGTTCAATCAGAAACACGCGGGAAAGGTTAAGAACAACAAGATTTTAAAGTGGCGATTGGAACTAGCACCTTTCTCTTATGACATAGTGTACCGTTCTGGCAAGGAAAACGTAGTAGCAGATGCATTTTCACGAGTTTCATCTTCCATCTCTTGTAGAGATTTCGAAAAACTCCGTAGAATTCATTGTGACATTGGGCATCCTGGAATAGTACGGATGGTTCATTTCTTAAAAAGTAAAAATCTCCCTTACTCTATCGAAGATGTCAGGCGAATGACCGCTTCATGCTCTGTTTGTGCGGAAGTGAAACCTCGGTTCTACCAAAAAACCCCATCAACACTCATCCATGCAATGGCTCCTTTCGAGAGACTTAACATTGATTTTAAGGGGCCAATACCATCTGTGACAAGGAATAAATACATACTCACGGTTGTTGATGAGTTTTCAAGATATCCGTTTGCTATTCCTTGCTCGGACACATCAGCATCTTCTGTCATCAAAGCACTTACATCAATCTTCACCATCTTTGGTATGCCTGCTTTTGTCCACTCCGACCAAGGTTCTGCTTTCATGTCAAAAGAACTGAGTGATTTCTTACACTCTAAAGGAATCGCCACTAGCCGATCTTCACCTTATAACCCTCGAGGTAATTCTCAAGCTGAGCGATATAATGGAACGATTTGGAAGACTGTATCTCTTGTTCTGAGAAACAAGGGACTGAAGACAGAACAGTGGGAGTATGTTTTGCCAGAAGCTTTGCATTGTATACGCTCGTTACTATGTACAGCTACGAATGAGACCCCACATGAACGACTTTTCAAACACCAGAGACGATCATTTTATGGCACCTCTCAACCTCAATGGCTCATGAATCCAGGACCAGTATTAGTGAGAAGGCATGTAAGAAATAACAAATATGAACCTTTAGTGGAACAAGCTCAGCTGATAGAGGCTAATCCAGACTATGCTCGCATCAAGTATAGAGATGGTAGAGAGGCTCTGGTATCGGTGCGACATCTCGCTGTTCCTCCTGAAGCTATCCAACAAGAGGATGAGCCAGTGACTTCGGAAAATCCCAGTCAAGAACTAGATCCTGCTCTTCAAGACCTGAGACGTGAATCAAATCTGCTTCAACCTGAAATTGGGAACTCTATTCAATCTGAAATCGAAACATCCCCTCTGCATGAGACCGTGACCCCTACTTCTGTGAGGGATAACGAAGAAACAAACCTGCGTCGTTCCACTAGAGTCCGAAGACCTCCCACCTATCTAAGGGATTACATTAAAAAAAAAAGATGGGGTGAATGTTATGTAATATGATTCTTTTTGTACTGTCAAATATTTATTCAGCTGTTTTATTTAAGACTGTTTTGTTTATGTATGTAATGTTTACAGTTTTGTGCAATTCTCTCATGTAAAATGTAGCTGACTATTAAGTTGAATAAAACCATATAATTTGGTTTCTAAACATTTCTTTTCATAACACATATACCCTAGTCAAACATATTTAAATAAAATTACAATGATTCTGTCTGTGTCACAATGTTCTGATAATATAGATAGGAATTCAAGAAGGAGTGTTAACATGTAATTTGTGTATAGCTGATTTCCAAATGAAGCAAGTTATTTAAGTAACCACCTTTGAAAGCACTAGAACTTTGAGTAAGAATACCAGAGCAAAGTTATGGTCACTCAAGTATTTTTTCACACAAAAACATAGAAAGCCCAATCTGTCATTTAATATTGTGTGTAATTTAATAAGTTAATACTTTATTACTTTATTCTGAAATGGCTACCATACAAATGTTAGTTAATAAGTGTTGTTAGTATACATAATATTTGGAGGGATATTTTCTGAACACCTTGACTAAGTATGTGAAATTCATTACTTTTTCTTGTTTTATTTGTGTGTTTTGTCCGTGATTCTCATGCCCAGTTAGTTTCTGGGTTGGTTCTGTATTCTGTGGCTTTACTTCAATGCGTTTTACAGAGTATTTTAAATTTTTACATAGAATAATGAGTTCTTTTAGCAAATTTCTCATATTATCGGGAATAAGCTATTACCGTAGTACTCAAGGTAAGACCTGGACCCACAACCGATTTACTTTTTCGTTTTTAAGTACCTCGAGGCCAAAAACACCATCCGTTCAAATGCTTATAAAAAGTTGGTAAACATTGGTTTTTCCCATTTTTCTACAAAAAAATCAAACTTAACAATTTCTTCCATAACCATTTTGTAGAGCTTGGGAATTGGTGAAGGAAGTAGTCAAGGCGAGGTGTCTGGAGTGTGGGAACTGTTTATATCGATTAGATTAAGGTATCTGGAATCCTAAAATGTGATGGGAACGGAAGGAAACAGGTCCGCAACGTAGGAAGTGGTGAAGGAAGTAGTAAAGGCAAGCAGTGTGGAGTTTGGGTGGATTTATGTATCTGCAATACTAAGACTGCTTTCAGAGTAAACTAATGATTTTCCCCGAGCAAAGCTCGGTCCCCAGGTACTTACTTATTATGCGCCTAATCGTTATAGAGAAATTCCAAAAAAAGTAAATTTAAAATAAACTATTGTAGTTTGCTTGTTTATGAACATATTTGGAGGATGCATTAATTTCTACTAGACTACCTATTAACATTTTACAATAACAATTTTGTTACCCTCCCTGTTGCAGCAAACTTAAGTAGGCCCTACTAGTTAAACTAATCTATACTTATTTAATACGCAAGCAGGTTTTTTGTGACAATTACTCCTCCGAAACTACTGAACCGATTGACATGTTTTTGGTGTCATTGGAAAGAGCGTAACGTGAAGTTGTGCAGGAAACTTTCTTTTTAGGGAAATAATCAGAGAGTGAGGCCCTGGGGCCCTTTAAAGTTTTGTATTTATCAATAAGATTAACATGGGAAACAAAATTTGTTATGGAACTCCAGCTGTTGTCAGAAATTAAAAGTGAAATATTTATCGATGGTATAACAAAGAACAAACCCACAAAATTTAAAAATGTAAACAAGCAGAACTAACTGTCAAATTAATTTTGATTTCACAATTCCACACAGCTGGTCCAAATATATTAAATACTGCATGATTATTAGAACAGGAACGGTATGGGTCATAAACATAAATAAAATATGTCACCCGCCCGAATGTAAACATTTAACATTGATTAAATGGAACTGTCAAACTATATGTTAATGTCATTAGTATTGGATTCTTTCAGTTACGTCATTTGTTGACCGAGTCTGTCCAATATTTTTGAGCTGCTGTAATAATATTTTATAGGAAATAATTGTTATATAAATTCATGGATATAAGTAATAGTTTAGATTCTACAATCATTGCTGTTATTAAAATTGTGTATCCGCAGCAAACCTTCAGACTAAGCGAATTTCCATTTACCTGGCTTAATTTATACAAAGATATTCCCTGAAAATTGTAATATTTTCCTATTTAAATAACATTAAGTTAATTTTAATATGAGTACCTAGGTTTGCTGCTACAGGGAAGGTAGGTGTGTTTTTTTTTAAATGTTGATAGCTTAGTATGATTGTTATTGGTTTGCAAATCCTGTAATACTTTACAATTGCTTGAATTCGAGCAACATGAACACTAGTTATATTTAAATAGGGAATAAATGTGATATTTTTAAGGAGACATTTCAGTCTAAATCCAATCAGGCAAATTGAAATTCGCTTAGTCTGCAGGTTTGCTGCAGCGGGGGTATTTGGTTCTTTATTGCTCAATACACGTAAACATTTTCTCTTTTCCTGAATTGAATAGTTAAGTATATTTATCGCTGAGAGTGGAGGTAAGGAAAATGCTACCAACTCTTAATTAATATTTTGGAAATCCATTGTTTATTTTTAGGATTTTTCCGTTCTCGTTCTCATCGACTACCAAAGCAAAGATTTAGCTCTGCATCAAAGGTGCACTGCACTCAAAATTGACAGCTTAGATAAAATTAAAACACTTCAAAACTTGTATTACACTACTATCTCTTTGCAATATGGTGTTATTACCATGATATAGTGTTACAATACAAGAGAAATACAATCCTATAAAGAAACATGAGTCCATCACTAGACAATAGTAACAATGAGTCCATCACTAGACAATAGTAACAGAGTGTCATAGTGTTACCTTGAAATTTAGTACATTTAAAACCATGATTCATGGTTTTAATAAGTAATGAACTTATTTTTTGGGAAGTTCATAAGGTTACCGGTATCGTATACAGTTAAAATGGTAAGAGTGAAGGACGTATGCCCCCTTGCCCCAGTTTGCCAACATACCCCCTTTTCGTCCTATGACGCTAGGATTGTTTTTCACATTACTTCAGGCCAGACCTAGGGGTTGCGGCATTATCACTTGGATAAAATCCATTGGGGATTTGGCAGGATTTAAACATGGGACCTCACGGACCGAAGTCCCGCACTCTAACCACTACACCAGCTCACTCCCCCAACATACCCCTTTGGCCTGTACATTTGTACAGAGCCATAAGTTTTGGGCAAGCTGCTGTGATACGATAGTTATGAGCATGCTCTGGTTTATCGGCTCAATTCGCTATCACTGAACTAAATGGTGGTTGAGCTTTGTCACTAATTACGTCAAACTTTAAAAATAAAATTTGCATACTACTTTCCCCTTGTACCCATGTGTAATAAGTGTATGTAATTGTGTGTGTAAGCCGTGTATATGTTTGTTAGACAGACAAAACTTTCTGCGTTTCAGTGTGAACAAAACACTGGGGTAACCGCATTGCTGGTCGCGGTGAATGTGACGCATGAAGCAGTGGGTCGAGAGTTACTCACTTGGCCCAGTCCTGACGCCACGAGGGTTCTGTGCCGAGGGTCGGCGAGAGGTCATCTGCAGCTGAAACAAGGAGGCTGCCGAGCGTGCAACATGAGTACGAGAACGAGAACATGCCGAAAGCAACAACATCATACAATACAGAGGCAATGGGCAAACAACATACGAGAACATATACCAGTTGTTTCTCACAAAGTTTGTAATATCACAGAGTTCAAAACATGTAATATGGTTTCATCATTGTTGGACAATGAGTTTTAAACATAAGTAAGGCTTCCACAATAATTAACACAAACACGGCAAACTTGGTATTCTGGGTAAGATCAGTTCACAGACAGAAACTTATTACTAAGTGTTGACGTTTAGAACTTATTGCTGACAGCCATCTTCAGAGCAGTTCACTAGCATCAGAGTAAGGCTGTTGACTGTAAATCCTTAAGGATACAGTCAACGGTAAGGCTCTACCATTGGCTGATTATCTCCTTAGAAATACTCTGAAGATGGCTGTCAGCAATAAGTTCTAAACCTTAACACTTCAGAAGACCTTCCTTGTTTTGTCTGGTAGTTTATAGTGTTACTGAGTTTCAAAATAAAAATCCAACCAAGAATTATTTAATTACATTTTTGTATTTAAAAATTATTTATTTGTCTAATTATTTTTTACTGCCCATTCAAATGATATCTAATTATTATATTGAGCTGATTCGAAACCCTAAAATCTTACATTGATAAAAATATATTTATATACAGATATATTTTAATTTAAGAGTTTAAGGATTGTTATTTATATTAAATTTAAGCTAAATGAAATAAAATCTAAGAAAGCCTTAAATTCTTGGTCATTTTATTGTTACTAACAAAATTATAAATGGTGGTTTAAGATTTAAGATTCTTTTTTAAGATTTTTTTTTTTAATATGTAGTCATAATCAATTAAAAAATATCAACAAAACAAATGAAACAAAACAATATCTATATTTGTAAATATCAATAACAATATTGAAAATCCTATAAGTTAAGTCTAAATACTTTTTGAGAATACCAAAAAATCTGAATAAACTGAAGTGCGGAATGTGCTGTCAACACCAAAGCCAGTTCAAAACCTCCCAAGATTAATTGAGATAAAATTTAGATGAAATGTAAAATTAATGGTTACCAATTTAACATATGTTCAATAACTTTGAATAGCATAATTTTAATGTACTTGAATTCAATCTTTTCCAAATTTTATTATACTTCACCAATACACTTCAATAACAGCTTACAATTCATGTCAAATACTTTGCTTCTCTTAATCATTGGAACAGTTTAGTTTAACATCGATTCTTCTTTGGTATTTGTTTTTTCTTTCGATTCTTATTTTATTTTTTCTTTAATTTGATCAAAAGCAATTATGGATCCTTTTTTATAAATTTTTGGCCGAAATTACCAAGTGAATACTAAAATAGTAGATGTTTCTTCATTTAGTTTTAACCAAGCAGATTTATTCTGAACTTGAAAAAAGCAATATTACCTTGAAATAAATCACTTTATAGACAACTAAAGAGGATACCAGTCAATTAAACTATACATCTTACTACAAAAATACAAAATCAAAGAATACAATTTGATCTTCATAATGTTTACTCATAAGAGGAAATTCATAAATTTGGAACATTTTTACCAACCCAACACCATCTTGTGAAACATAATATCTCACTCTAATATAAAAACGTTAGGGTAGATAGGACTCTACCACACTAACTCTATCTATGGTCCTAAAACACAATTTTATCCATCAAACTGGACACCAAGAAAACTGGAATGTCTACAGTGCAAATAGATAGTGAAGAAGAATTTGTTGGTGAAGAGGAAGAAAAAGATTGTTTAGTAGACATGAAGTGACGTTAACATGCTAAGTAGGGAGGGGGAACTTACGCAATCTTTTCACTAGGAGATCTCCATGGGACGTCGTCTTCCATCTCGTCTTCACTCTCGTCCCCTTCGTCCTGTGGCCCTGCGTTGATGTTGAGAGTGGAACACGTCATAGTGTCCGGAACTGGGAGAATGCTGGGCCTTCTGCTTCCTAATAAACATTTCAGTTAAGTATAGTGTAGTACATTATTTCATATTACATACATTATTTCTCTGCCGGACAAGGTGCTTGTAAATTGTATGTCATGATGTAGATTGACCTGATAAAGATTCCCGTGGTCCAATCATCATGCCATCCTCAACAAACTTTTCAGAACACATCCTGATCAAGCGACACTTTCCCAGCGAGTCCTTCCTCAGATTACCATGAGCTCACGTGATGTTACCTAACCTCCGTACCACTCCTGTCTGTATCGGTCTCGGCATGTTAACTAATGGTGTTCTCCTTTCATTCCCAGAGTGGTGTTCTCCTTTCATTCCCAGTAATTCTGTATGTCACATTTCGTCCAAGATATTCTCCATACAAACTCGGTCATAAAGAAATTGAATGCCAGAAACGGCGCGAGCCCTGAGGGCTTAGGTCACACGTTGACCTGACCTGAAGTAATGTGACAAACAATCCCAGGTCTGTGTCCAACAGAGTAGAGGGGGTTTTTTAGTGAGTAGTCTGACAAGCTCAGGAGTCTCACACTACAGGCTGGGTACCTGTGTGCGTAAAAGCATTTTTACCTCCTCTCCCTAAAAAAAAATCTCAAAATTGGTAGTAAATATTTAACAACCAATTAGCACTTCTAACTTAAATTTTCTCTACATAGCACGGCAAACTTTGAATGGAGGACTGAAGATGGGGTTGATTTGATGGGAGATGAGGTGAAGATGGTTGTGGAGAAAAGAGGAGAAGTGTACAGATGTGTTAGGAAAATTAACTGTGGAGTAATAGTAGGAGATAACGAGACAAAGAGAATGCCCAAACAGAATAGTTGAAACTGAAGAGAATACAATTTATACATGAGTAGGCCTATGTCTCATGTGTATGTAAATTGAGTCAAGTCATTACCTCTTCTCTGGTTGAGGATCTCAGGACTAAGGAAGTTGGGGTTGGTGTCAGTAGGTTTAGGCACTCCAAGATGATTCCCTGTGGCCGTCTGCTCGGCTGATTGAGGCTTGGGCTTCTGCTGACCTGTTGTCACTGTGTCATGCGTTTCTGTAGGAAGTAAGAAAAAAACCTTAATTTGAATCTAAATTATTTAAATAAACATCCAAAACATGTACAAACACAAATATTGGTAAAGAATTAACTTGACACTGTGGTCAATCATCACTGAGATATGCTGAAACGTGCATGTGATTCGGCGAATATTATTTGCTTCAATGCCTTACTTAATTACTAGCAAAACTACCCCGCACATGCCTGGGTAAAAATATGTCTTTACCTCAACTTTATTTGTTACCTGTATTTGTGTACACAACCCCAAAAGGTTTGAATATTTGAGGTGTATTGCCTATTCTATTTGATTATTATCGTTTACAAAATGCAAATACATGCTTAAAAATGTCACAATGATGACAACACACTTGTTTGAAGTTTTTTTGTCAATAGTAACATATTTAACAACTGCCACATAACGTAAACCAACATTAGCATTAATGTGTCTACCTGAATAAAACATTGATTCATGATTTAATCACATAAAATAGAAATTTAAAGCTAACTACTCTATATTGGTTTTGTGAAAGGGTAAAGGGTGAAAGGGTGGGGTGAAGGGGGGTGGGGGGGTGAAGGGGGGGTTTTGTGAATACAATTTTTTGCAGTGCACCATCGCAAAATGATATTCTGGTCTGTTACATACCATCAGTCTTTGTAATAGCGTCTGGGTTGGCGTTATTTGCTACCACAAACGCAGAGTTCTCCTCCTTAGTAATGCTCATGTAGTAACAAGTATCAGTCTTCTTCATGATGTGTCGAGGGCCTGGGTTCAGTAGTATTGTGTCCTCATAAAACTCTGGTAGTTCTGCCGGCCTCACGCCCACCAACGCCACTCCATACCTGGAATAGCAACTTGTCAGTCAACTTATAAAATATGATTCCAAACTAGTTTGGAAAATCAGTTTGTGTTTCATTTCCAGAGAATTACTGAAATTATCTCAAGCCATATTACGGAAAAGTTTTGAGAAAGTTTGATTTTCCATCAAATTAACAATCCTAAGAATTAAGTAGCTTTTTTACTTTTCATGTACCGGTAATCTAATTTACAGTTCATTTCCTATTTCAAAAAGTCCCTCTTGGCATTTGTGCTGGGATTGTTAGGAATGAGTGCCATTTTATTTTGATACAAAGGGTTTAGCACATATACCAGCAAATGAACATCCATGTAAAGACACGAGTGGAAATTGTCCCAGACACATAGGCCTATACCTAACAGCTTAACTGTACAAATTGAAAGACTACGGGTAGGTACATAAGATAAAAATTGCCAGTTATCCAGTTCTCACGGGTGTCTCGCCGCCATAGGGGACATGGGGAACGCGTCCCCCCCAATATTTGAAAAGTCAGTTTTGTCCCATCCCAAATTTAGCTGTAGACATGCTAGGGCAAAGGCGAGTGCCAAGTGCGCGAGCGAGGACGGGAAAACAGCTGATTTCCTTATGTTCCATACTCATAGTTATATAGTCGTGAGACTGTCTGCTAGCCACTGACTTTACATAGGCATCAATCAGCAATCAGCGGTAGCACCAGTAGCCTATTACCATTGAATATATAAACACTAGTGTTAAAGTTTATATAGGCAATGCACTGAATTCGATACTATAGGCTACATATTGTGCCAGATCTATGAAATGGAGAAAAACGTAAGGTTAAAAAACGTGTTTACTTGCTTGCATGGCATATTGAAATGGAAGGTTTTATGACAATTGGGCACAGTCCTAAAGCTTTTAGGAGATATGGCTTCGTAGTCTACAGTAGGCCTGTGTTTTGAAATTCATGAATGCAAGTTCGTTATAGTTTGATTTTTAAAATGTCTACTTGCTCATGACAAAGACAAATAACAAGTGAAACGGGAGGTTTTTGGACAGTTGGACACAGGTATAGACTTTAATAATGGCTTTAGAAAGTTAGTAAACAGCTTTTGTGAGGATACGGCTGTAGCCTACAATATGTTTTGAGATTTATGAATGCAATCGTCATAGTTAGTTTTAAAAATGTCTACTTATTCATGACAAATAAATGGGGAAATGTGAGGTTTTGCACACAGTTCTAGACGTTAAAACTGGCTGCAGAAAGTCACCCAATGGCTTTTAGGAGGATATGGCCTGAAGTCTACAGTGTGTTTTGAAATTCATTAATGCGATCGTCATAGTTTATTTTTAAGATGTCTTTTTGCTCATGACAAACACCAGGTGAAATGGGAGTTTATGGACAGTTAGGCACGGTTTTATGTGTTAAAAATGGCTTTAAAAAGTCACCAAACAGCTTTGAAAATTCCAAATTTTCCCGGACCCCCCTGCATTATTGGCTGCTGTAGCCCCCGGAGGAACCCCCATTTGTCCCCCCCAAAGTGTTGATGGTGACGACGCCAATGCCAGTTCTACACTGTATCTTATAACTACTGTAGTCACCACCGGCATATTTGCTTACGTGACTTAAGAAGATGAAATAATTTCTTTTCTTCATGCTGCAGCAAAAACAGATGTTTTCAAAACTTAAAAAGAACATTGAAAAAAACCAGCAGCTGGAGTTAAGGAAAAAGAGCTGTACAGTTTTCTGACTCGCAAAACTTAGATTGTATGAGTTACACAAATAATCAAATGTGTCTTGAGAGTAGTTTTTGCACATTTACACATTTAAACCTATTTCAAACATTTAGATAATATTTTACTTACTTTCTATGAGAGTGAAAACTAGCGTATGTGAAGCTCTTGCCCTCATATTCGCCAAAGAACCTGCTGTCTTCTAGAAGAATGTGATAGATCTCGTTCCCTGAACACCGACCATACAATCGATGCCATTCTTCTGAAGATGTTTGTCCTTCCCTAGATCATAACGAGATAAATTAAATCGAGTTGTGCCAGCTAACTTATATGACATAACCATGAACAAAACAATGTGTCGTGCAGCAATGAATACCTCAAAGGTTAATGGTCCATCTGGATAGATCATAGCACTAACCGTCAAAACCTTGAGTGATTCACGTTCTTCAGGGTAAAAATGGAATTTAGAAATACTAAATCTCTAGTTAAACCTAATAATTTTTTTACAATTTGAACATTTTGCTGAATAACATTGATTTTATATAGTGTAATAATCCTCATCCTCTCAAGTAACATTTTTAAGCATTTTTTATGTGAGTTTTTGATTTGTAACGTGAGTACCATATGGTTATGTTGACTATATGTTTCTCATTTATCTTGGATTAGATTTTCAAATTTTGGTTCTTTTTTATCATAGAGCAATGGTTATACCATTTTATTTGGTTTTATTTTATTATTTACTTAATGGTTTTAAGATAAGATGAATAACAAAATTCAAACAGTAGGCCTAAACAACCAGTAAACTCCCTATGTGTAAACTAGTATGGAACCGCACAAAATTTGTATCTGTAAGCTGATTTATGAGGTTGAAAAATCTTTGTGTGTATATTTAAACGTTCATAAGTATGGAGGAGAATGCTAATCAACAAGTAGTTTGCATCATGCATTCAAGTGTTGCCACTGAGCTCATTATAACTCGCCCCTTGCTACTTGAATCGTTTCCTTAACTTTTTCACCGATAATATAGGTTTTACAACCATCCTGAATTACATATCAACTTACTGTCCACGTGACGTGTGTAGCAGCAGTGTGACCAGAGTAGACGCCCCGGGACACGTACAGTTGTTGGCCAACAATGCGTACTTGAGCTCATCCTCACACACAACATGTTCAGCAAACTTGACGTGCAACTTGTTCTCCGGCCTGAATATCTGCACATACTGTGGCACACACGGCGCAAAGTCCTTCACAGCCCACGACCTCAGGATTGTGTGTTCATCCTGCAAAAAGAGGAGATCAGTCAATCATCCTAGAATATTAAAATAAAAACTGTTATCTCCTAAACTATTTCAGCTACCAATACCAATGTAGCCTATATTAGTAAAAAAATACCTAATAGGCTAAAGTAAATTTATGTTAGTCAAGTTCTTGTATAAATCGGCGTAATTACCTCACACACAGGCTTTGACCACAACTGCAAAAATGTTTTTACAATATGTACCTCCAGTAGTTTGAGCTTTGTTATATTTGCACAAAGTATCTCCTCAGTGGATGGGCAGTGGACATGCGATTCGATTGTATAAAGTAGCCCATATGGCTTTTTGCATGTCTTCTACACTGCTCAAATTATTTTTAATGGCTTTTCCATAGTAATTTTGTAATATTGATCAATTTCGGCCCCTGTAAGACAACCAGCACCTCCTACAAACTTGTTGTCACTTAATTTAATTTTTTTTAAGTTCTGCTTCATGGATGAAGACGGGTGCCCATAAGATTCTGTACGTGGCCTACACATTCAAGTTTAAGGATTGATGTCAAATTCATCGATATATGGTTTGTTCTAAAAATCATTGGAGTCACCATCCCTACTTGAGATTTTGTACTTTAAGCCAAGTTTTTCCTCAGAGCGTCTGCACAGTGCCTTGGCACCTGCCACCTACATCCCACCATTCGAGCAATAAGTTAGCATTGCAAACTTTTTTATGTCCAGCCATGTTTTTGGGGTTCCTAAATTTTCTTTCACACAGCCAGTGCAAAATTTTGTTAGGCACTCTGTATTCAAAACCTTTCCGCTAAATTATCAAAGCTTCGCTTGTAACGGATGTCACCAATTAGTGATATATGACCCCACTTTAGCCAAGTGTCATCAAATGCGGCTGCAATCATCTTTAATTCAATCATTTAATTCAATCATTTAATTCAACGGCTTCAGCAGCAGCATTCCTCATCGAGGTCTCACAGACTTCCTAGTAGCTGCCTAGGGGTAAGCTTAGACGTAGCCTACATTTGGTAAATTTGGTAGCCTACTTGAAGTGGCTAAGTTCATGAGGGTAGAGAACATTTTGGTCGTTTCTTTGCCCTTTATTTTACTAGGCTGCACTTTACTTTACGTCCTACACTCATTCGAATGAAACAACCGAATGAAACAACCGAATGAAAATATCGGTTTATCGAGCGTTTCATTTGATATATCGTTTGGTTAGTTAGGTTAGGTTAACCTTACCTAACTAACCAAATGATATATCGAACAAATCGATCGATATTTTCATTCGAATGAGTGTAGGACGTAAAGTAAAGTGCAGCCTTTTACTAGGCTAATAATTTGTGAACTAGACCAGCGTTGTAGTTTGGGTCAATATTCAATTCAACACAGTCACTATCACTACAAAATTTGCATTGCGTAAATGATGATGACGCCTGAAATTATTTCTAAAGCCAGCCTAGGACTAATAGGCTGAGACAAAGTTTACATGTGATTCTCAAAATATTGTTCATTTGGTAGCTTAGAATTGTTTAGTTTCTTGGAAGAAGGCGACAGTTTCGATCTGGTCTGATCACTATGGATAGGGGTCTGAGAAATGATTATCAATCATTGAGATAGGGACGCCACCTAGGTGAGTATTTTAACCCAAATATGAGTGAAGGTCGAAGGATGAGTGTAGAATGGTGTGTGATGACCTGTGTAGCTTTGTTACTGACTAAGATCAGCGGTTTCATTAGTTAGGATCATTTATTTAAAGCCCAATGATCAGGAACAGCTGGGTCCAGTTTCGAACCATCAAAAAGGTACTGACTTTTCCCAGGATCGAACCGGCGACCTTTTGATTACTAGGCGAGCAGAATTGAAATGTTCATCAAACCTGGAAATTTAGGCAAACTGATTTCCACTAAATCAATCAATTATCGAACGTACACTATGATTGTAGTTGATTGATTGATTGATCAAGAAACATAACCCTAACCTAGTCCAACAAAACAGTAAACAAAACAACAAAACAATAATATTATTCTGCAACACCAGCTGTACTAATAGCGGAAATCCAGGTGTTGGCTATAAGCAGAGTGGCCAACTCTCTTAAATGAAATAAAAATATAACTACTGGGGCCCATTTCATAATAAACTACAAGTTACAACTTACAACTTGTAACTTGTAATTTCCATAAGATTTGCATTGGGCGATCAGCTGATTTACTAATAATATTAGTTTGTACTTTATTATGAAATGGGCCCCTGGTCTTACTGAAATAAGTGTACAACCAAGTACTACGTAAAACCAAGATGTGTCAAAATCCATTCTGAAAATAGTGTAATAAATATTGTCATATATGTAATTTGAGTTTTTTGTACCCTTAAGATTTTATTTTGAATATAGAGTGCTGTATTATTGAAGATAATAAAATGGAGAACATTTTTTTAATACAAAAAATTTTGATCCTCTAAAGGTATCAACTTCTCTCAAGAATTACATTCAGCAGTCACTGTATGAGCAGCACTTACAGCGGCAGTTTTGTCGGCATAGTTTCTGGCGGCCAGGACAAAACAGGCCTCCGCCTCATTCATCCTGGCCCTGGCGAGGTCCACGTCCTTGAGACACGACCCCTGGATATAGATGACCCTCTGGGCCCAGATAGGCACCTGCAGGATCATCCTCATGGTTGTGTCTAGCTCCATGGGTGACAGAAGGACCACGTAGTAGTCCTGTGGAAGATTACAACCCGGTTATTGTTTAGTAGGCATAATATTCCTCTAATAAGAGCCAAATAAGAGCTATGTCCGTTTATGTGTGTATTTGTTTATAAAAGTTACATTTAGAAGGAAGGATTTTAACTAGTTTGGCAAAATGTGTGTTTTATACTTTGGTTAGGTGTGTGTATGGGGGTATTTTTAAATTTATTGCTGAGCTGGCAGCTGTTATTTAAATTTTAAGGTGAGGTGCGGGATGGAATCGCTTCTCCCAAATTTCCTACATTTTGTGAATAGACTATAAATTTTACTCTTAAAGACGCACCCCTATAGTCTCGACCTATAATCTAATCTAATGACCTGTAGTAGTGGATGAGCGTAGAACTCGTTGAGGAAGTCCATGATTGTGTCTGCGTGGAGAGTCGTGCTGCAGACGACGACATGCTTCTCAGACTGAGCTCTGTGGGATGAGTACGAGCCTCCAAGCTTCTGTCGCTCCATCCACGTGAAGGCCAGCTGCTCAAACTGTGAAAACACCATTGAGGTTGTATATAGGTTCATGGATAAATAATATTTTGAAAACTGACATGAGTTGGTTACAGTGATGAAGATTGAACAGTGGCATTGAAATGAATACAAAAAACATGAACTAATTCAAACCCATACGGAGGTGATTTATTTAATATGACCGCTGTTTAAAATGTTATACATGTAAGTTATGACTGTGTCACTACTCACTGTTGATCCTCGTCTCAATACATGAACTGGCCAAAATGGTATTTTGAATAATTTATATAAATTGCCTGATCAAATACGAATTGTGTAGTCTGCTTTAAGCTGGCCACGAGCATTTATTTCCAAGTGTCTTTCAACATTGCATAAATGATATGTTTTTGTATTCTATATGTATAGACATTATGTTTATACTAATATTGGCCGCATGATTTGGGAGGCAGTAAAAATTTACCAGGGTGCAAGTTTATAATGTGGTTAAAAGCTTTATTTTGCGTTATGCATGGAAAAATCATGGGGTTTCTAGTAGTTTTTGCCACTGCACTGTGGCTAAATGGAGGTACATATTTTTAGCTTTTTAAAAAAATTCATACTAATATTTGTACATAATAATATTATAACTATAATAGTACTGTCACAAATAAAACAGTAGAAAACCCAATCATGTTCCAAAAATTGGTAATGTAAAGTGTAAATATAATAAAGAATGCATGCACTTGATAAGGTCCTCCAAATAAAATCTTTTTTGCGAGAATAAAAAAAAAGATCTACAATGCAATATGATCAAACAATGTGACTAAATTTATAAAATAATTATGCAGATTTAACATTGAATCAATAAATCTACTTAGCTTTTACAATGGTTAAAAGCTTGGTTTGGCTGTAAGCTACTGTCAATGTTCGCTTTAAGGCAATCTCAGCATTTTACGACAAAATTTCTCCTAATCCAAGATTTGGTTTTCTTAATTTATTAATAATATTATTCGTTATGTGGGCAGGTAAAAAAAAAATATTATATACATATCAGGTGTTGTCATAGCTCGTCAAAATTAATTAATTTGACAGCAATGGGGTGAATATCTAGGTACAATATTTTGTTTGCTACACAAATTACAAAATGTAAACTTTGATTGTTATTTTTAAGTTCAAACATAAAACAACAATAAATCAACCATTTAAAAATTCAAATAATAAAATTCATATTAAATGTAATAGAGCTCTCAAATTTTACTCATATGATAACAATTACTACCAAACAATCATTTATAAGAAATTATGTTTAAATGCTTGAGTGCTAACAATAGGTTATAGTAGAAACACTATAAATTATGTCTGCCGTTAGAATTTTGCATATATGTATAAAAATGGGGTTTCTACTACAATAACCAAATTCAAAGAAATTGTGTACAAAATGCAGGATTAAATAACCCAGGTTAACGAAATATCAATGGCAGTCTACATCCAGCTAAACACATGGGACTTCTGTAAAAGGGAAAATGTTTAGATCTGTGTTGTACAAGCTTAAGCTAGTTGTGACAAATTGTACATACTATATATTTAGTTAAAGAGAGCTTATTAAAGAGATATTATACTTCTGTGTAAAGCGGCCGACTATGAGAACTGCATCAAATAAAAGCCAAGCTGATGCATGGCAAAAATATTTTTAGCTGAGATTTGAAAAACCTGCTTAATCAGATCCTTCCGAGCAAGCTTATAAAACAAGATAAATAATATTAAGAAACAATAAGGAAAAACTAGAAAAATGTAAAAAAGTGTTATTACAAATTCGATGTGTACCGGTAATAATTTTGGTTGAAATGTAAAATGACGTAGGACTTTAAACATAGTTTTATATGTTCATCAACGGTAAAATGGGAAAAGAATTTGAAAATGGGAAATTTGTTCCAGTAAAATACAAATAATTTAAATTATATTATTCATGAAAATAAACGTTAATATCAACTAGAGCTCGCCCCGTGGTCGAAAACTCGACCAAAAGTATGTATTGTGCAAACTTCTTTTTTTCACCCCACACTGTAAATAAAACATGTGATTGGAATTTCATCCATTTGTTTTGATTTTCTTGTTATATTTTGTTACCATCATGGCAACACATAAATGTTAATAAAAAATAAAAATTCATTTTTCGTGCGTTTTGAGCCTATTTTAATTTATAAAGGAATTCTGCACATCTCTAGGAAAATACCTTTCATTTGGTACCAAATGTGTGTAATTCAGTCCAGTGGTCAGGCTGGCTGTCAAGTTTTGCAAAAGTTTTTAATATATAAGAAAAAGTAGTTATATAGGGAAAATAAATTTTAGTTTCAAAATTAAGTAGTACCATCATTTTAAAATCTGTTTTAGCACAACTATAATAACGTCTTGATTTGTATAAAATGTGATAGTGCAAAAATATACGGAAGAAAATTAAAAGACATCTTTCAACGCAAATTATACTTGAACTTATTTGTATTTAGGGTATTTAGTGAAAAGAACCTCATTTAAATAGGAGAAATACCTTAAATAAAAGTCTAGAGGTTTCCACTAAATATTATTGTTTAATTTATTATACTTTTACAAGTAATTAACAATTATTTGTTTAGAGCAAATATAAATGAACCACTTTGGTTAAAAGCCTAAAAGAATGTCTCTTTGTTTATTTTTCTTTTCATAGTAACCAAAATTCAATAAAACTATTTAAAACATCTGTCAGCTGATAAATCTGTCAGCTCTTCTCTTCTTATAGCAACCAAAATTCAATAAAATTATTTAAAACATCTGTCAGCTGATAGATTTGTCAGCTCACTACAGGAGGTCCACTAAATGTTATTGTTTAATTTATCATACTTTTACAAGTAATTAACAATTATTTGTTTAGAGCAAATAAAAATGAACCACTTTGGTTGAAAAGCCTAAAGAATGTCTCTTTGTTTATTTTTCTTTTCATAGGAACCAAAATTCAATAAAACTATTTAAAACATCTGTCAGCTGATAAATCTGTCAGCTCACTACAGGTATAAGCGATGTTGGCCAGAAGACTTTGGATAATACTGTTGCATTGTGCAAAGTACATTCAGTTGGTTTGAGGTTCACATGCATTCTTATAAAACATAAAATTTGAGAGCTCTGAAAAGCCAGAATAATTCAGAGGCTCGTATTCAGACAAAGGAATTTTCATTACTTACTTAAAAATACGTACTTGAAAAATAATTCACCTATAATTAAAACAAAGTAAAAAATAAAAATATCTGTAAAATGTTCAAACAATTAGATGTTAAAAGTGGATTTATGAACACAAAAATTGTTATTGCTAACACGTAATTATACACCTATTTATACAACCGTGAAAATTTCAGATTTTACATAGATAAGTTTATAGATAAAACTTGAAGGTATGGGTTAAATATTGGTCATATGTAAAAAAAATATGCAAGCAACTAATTTTGGTAATAGTAAACAAACACGTTTGAAAAATAAAATAGCTTCTTTCACGTATGGTTTTTCTTGAAGGAAAACTTCTAAGACAGAAAGTTATCTACGTAAGAAGACCTATGTTTGTAATTGATAGGTGGACATACAGGTGGGCATAAACCTAAAGGGTAGGAGTATTACGTCATGTCTTAAAGTGATAAGTTTTTCTTGAAGGACTTTGAACCTGTTCAGGACCATCTATGTATGATACTAACATAGATAATATACCTTGATTATATACATCGATGGTCAGGTCAGATGTCTTATGCTCTAATTCGTATACCAGTCATAACCAATTGACAACATTTTAAATACAGTAGCGTCATAAAAGTACGAAACATTGACATAACTGCCTTGGTCCTACTGTCTGTTGCCACGTCAACTGAGCTCAACAAAAACAATACCCTTTGTTAAGAAAGAACCATGAAACGTACCCTCAAAAAATTGCACAACAATAAAGTTCAATCAAATATTTCAAACATATAATTCACCTGTGTTGGAAGGACGATGAGCGCCACACATATCATGATGACCATGTAGAGTTGTGACGGCCAGATATCTGGCACAAAGTCTCCATAGCCAACAGTGGAGAAGGTGACTACTACATAGTACGTGGATTGGAACAGGTTCAGGTGTCTGTGACCAGCTCTTTGGAAGTGTTGGATACCGCACACGCTGCAACATAGGAAACATAATCTATCATAATCACTACATAAAGTTGCTAAAGGTCTCCACAGCCAACAGTGGAGAAGATGACTACTACATATGGATTGGAATAGGTTCAGGTGTCTGTGACCAGCTCTTTGGAAGTGTTGGATACCGCACACGCTGCAACATAGGAAAGATTATCTTTCATGATCACTACATAAAGTTGCTAAAAGTCTCCACAGCCAACAGTGGAGAAGATGACTACTACATAGTACGTGGATTGGAATAGGTTCAGGTGTCTGTGACCAGCTCTTTGGAAGTGTTGGATACCGCACACGCTGCAACATAGGAAAGATTATCATTCATGATCACTACATAAAGTTGCTAAAAGTCTCCATAGCCATCAGTGGAGAAGGTAACTACATATTTCTGTAAACAACGCCCTGATAGAGATAAGAATTTAGATTTTTATGACTAGCTCTCTGAAAATTCGGCAAAGTATTGGACTGTCTTCAGCCAGCTCGCTGAAAGTATATATATATAAATATATGTATATATATATATTTAGAACTCTCACACTGAAAAATAGGATCACAAGGTAAACATTGACGTACGATGATTAATCATCTATAAAGAAAACCCCTCAATAGATATTTCCACATAAGTTTGCCAAAAAACTGTTTAATAATTAATATAAAAACAGTAAATAGTTTAGTGTGTTGTTTGGTTGAATGAAATAAAGAAGATGGTTTTTTGTTAACATTTATTTTGTCATTTCTAATGTTTGATATTAAGTAATCGTCCGTGATATCAAAGTATTGAATCACGCACAGTGACGACTTCAACATCTGAAAAATCGTTTATATTTGTAGACGGAGGGAGATAATGAATTGTAAATAATCGTAATTACTTAAAAGTAAATGAATAAGTGGCTTTTTACAGACGTAAATTTTAAATGTATTTTTTATCATCCAAGGAATGATTAAACATCTCATACATATGATTCCTCCCTCTATGGAAAAATGTCATAACCTCCTATAAGGAGGATATAGAAATGTGCACTATCGCTAAAATAAAAACTATCTAGCAAATGTAATTCATATTACACTAGAGACCCAACGTAATTTAAATCAGCAAAGTGAATTGATATAATGTAAACACACACGTTTTTATATAAACAAATAGAGATTCCATCTCATCTGGATTTCACATTACTTTGTGATGTGTCTAAAGCTCAGCTCCATCATTTACATCAAACGTCATCATTAATCTTTCTCACTTGCTTTCTCTGCTTTTGATTACGCTTTGATGCTGAAATTAATTTATTTATTCAAAGTAGATTTTTTTACAGCATGCATATTTGAATGTGAAATGCACTCTTAATTGATTCTTTAAAATTACGTTCGTTAAATATACGTGTATTTAGGTATATTTTGTTTTAAAGAAGTCGAAGTGAATTTGAAGAATTATTTTGTTAGCAACGTTGAAAGGTTCATATTAAAAATCAAATCAAAATCACTAACTCTTCTTAGTCCCGTTATAGTATACCTATTTTTCTTAGAATAGTTTAAACTGTTGTTGACAATACTGAATTAAATAAATTAGTTTATTTGAGAGAGCTGTGGTGCAATCACTATATGAGTTAACATAAAATGAGGCTACTAACCTGTCGTCAATCAGTCCTATATTGTCGTGGATGACTATAGTTTCAGGGTTAAAACCCCATTTTCAAATCTTCTCTTCAGTCTCATATGTCAAACATTTTCTCTTGCACAAGCCGTCGTCAAAATTACTTGACACATAAATACATACAGAAATATTTATAATTACAAAATCATGTACATGCGCGAGGCCGGCCAAGGACAAAACCAGACCATTTTTGCAATTATAATTGTTTCTGTATGTGTTTATATGTGAAGTACTTTTGACGACGGCTTATGCAAGAGAACATGTTTGACATATGACGACTATAGTTTCGGGGTTAAAACCCCATTTTCGAAGATTTGAAAATGGGGTTTTAACCCCGAAACTATAGTCATCCACGACAATATAGGACTGATTGACGACAGGTTGGTAACCTCATTTTATGTCAATAAATCAATCCTGGAGGCAAATTATGTATAAATATATGAGATAGTGGCATAGTGATCTAATGTCCGAAATAGGCTCTCAAAGAAGATTTTGGCAAATATTTAAAAATATATAGAACTAATTTAGTTATATTAACAACATTTCTTGCTAGTTTTTTTACTGAAAGTTTTATTGACCTCCAATCAGCTCCCGCATTTGTAATAGACAGAGGGTTAAACTGTTGAAGAGCTTTAGAAGGTAGGCCTATTATAAATATGCGGTTAAATACTTTATAAAATTTATTAATAAAGGCTTGACCAATACTTACTTTGTTATATTGCTAAACAAAAAGGGATGAAACATGTAAGAACTACTGAAATTTAGTTAGTTTAATCTATTTATCTATACCATTATAAAATTTAGGAGGTGTCTGTATGTCTGTCTAGGTTTCTGCCACGACTAAAATACTAAACAGACACATCCAAAATTTAGCACAATGATGGTCCACATAACTAGGAATGTCATAGGCCTATTCACTTCGCTGAGTTCCTCTCGTTCTAAGCTCTTTGGATGTCCAAGGTTTTGAAGTGAGGTTTTCAAAAGTAAATATTAATGATTGGTCTCCATGGAAGCATGTGAAAACTGACAATGCTTACCTTTGCGTTGCCATTCCAATGTAAACAATCAGAACTGCCAAATGCTTATTTCAGAATTTCAAACAGCTGATCCAAACAAATTGTAATATTTTACATAACTATGTGGTCATTGATTATTTATTTAAAAACTATGTCATCGATTATGGAAATAAAAAAAGATTCTATAACAGTTGTATCAACCCAGGCTCTGCTTTAGATTTAGGAAAGTTTTGAATATAATGTTATTCATATATTTTCATGTTAACAGAAGGACAATTGCAATGTAAGTTATACTTTTTGTAAAAATTTGGTGGCTTTTAGTTTAATATTTAACAAAACGTCAAATAATAGACTCACCTTGTAAAAACTAAACAAAGAAGAGTTGCAGATAGAATCATCAGCTGTTGAGACAAGGCTGACTGCGACTTCTGCATCGCTCTGTGCAAGTCGTTCTGAAAATCAGAACAAGTTAGCAAAAGGTTGGCAAAGGTGCAGAGTTACGTTAGCTGTGAACAAGTAATGCACTCTAGTAAAGATATAACATGTAGCTCAAGATCATATCTTGGACCATAGCTTCTGGACAAAAGTCTACACTCGCTAATAATACAAGAGGTGAGAACTCGACGGCCACACTTACCTATAGCATCCGTTTCATATTAAAAGTAACTATAATCCAATCAGAAAAAATAGGTGGGTTCAGGGGAAACGATTCTATACCCTCCACCTGACACTAAATTTGAAAAAAAAACAGCCTACCTTACTTTGATCCGCTGATAAATGTATATACAGGGTGGTTCACGTAAGGTGTCTCAAATAGATTTAAGACAAACCGTTGATCCTACAATGATGAAACAAAACTATTTCCCACTAAATCAACCCCAAGGAATAACGTAAAAATATTTTTATGTTGTTTGAATACAGGGTGTTCAAAAACCAGAGGGTCACTAGTTCAGATCTCGGAAATATCAAATGCAAACATATTCATATCATACATAATTTTAAAGCCCTATTAAAAAGAAATATTTTAGTAAAAACATAACTAAATTATCTTTAGTCGTTTCAAAATGATGGCCACTTTTTAAATAGATTTATTTTTACGGAGTAACCTGTATTTTTCTTGAAATTGTATATATCTTTCTTTACCCTGATTCAAATATCGCATTCCTTCTGAGCTAAACTTTATTCCGGTATCCGATCTTAAAAACAAAAATTCAAACAAATTTGTTTAAAAAAATATTATTAAAAAAAATAGCATCATATGTCAAACAGCACATAATTTTATAGGCACTTTATAGGCACACTTTTGCTATTCCAAGTAACTTTCAAATCCAAACCATACCCATATCTCTTTTAGTTTTTGAGTTATCAACAATTAGCATGTTTTTCCTATATAAAGCGTATATTAATTGTTGACACAGGCCACAGTAAAAGGACTCTATTTCACAACAATCGGACAGCTGATAAAAAATTAGGTTTAGTTTAGTAAAATTTGACTTATGGCAATGTAAATATTTTTTAAATGTTTGACAATAGAAAGATAAAGAATAAATTTCCCAAATTTTATAAAATATGAAGCATTATTTAACTAAAAGATCTTAGTAAGTGTTTAGGGAAATGGTTATGTACTTTATTCAGACATTTTTAATTATTTAAATATTCATAAGAGTGCATTCTGTTAACGACCTGTAAACATCTAGTAAGCTAAAATCATTAACAAAACCATAAACATAAATACTGCAAAAATTATACTTACGAACATATTTTCTAGTGACTTTTTTGCTAACCAACAGTTGAGAAAGACAGGAATGAAGAGATTTCGGAATGGAGGATAAACAATCTGAAACATAGAAGATCAAAATGTAATTAGAGGACATACATGGTGAAATAAGTAAACAAACTATCAAAATTGTTTTGATTTTGATTTCTTCCAGTTAGATTGTGATTTTCATTAATCATGGTTGTAAAAAATTAATGTTTTTTGATCAGTATACATAAATATACCTACAACAAACAAATAAATATAATTATATTAAGTTTATAAAAGTGGTATTAACTGATTTGGTTCTTATTTTTTATGAATATTATCAATAAATGAATTGGCCGAAATAACCAATATGTTTTAACACTATTAAAAACAGCATTATAGTACTGTACTGGTAATACAAATAACTGTCAAACTGTCGCACCTAAATATTGTGGACTGTCGTTATATAATCATTGTCAATGATTAGTTAAAATGTGTACTGAAAGTCAAGTCTTTATTTCTGAATCGGTTTAGTTTTAATTTGTATATATAAATTGATAGGAACGTATTTGAACTGTTTAAAAATTTAATTCAGTTTACTCTTTTTTGTCTGTAACTCTATTTCGTCTTATATTATGATTAAATCATTTGGTTTTGAACTGTCTGTATCATCACTAATATTGAATCTTGTAGATATTACAAAAGTAAATAGTATAAATAATCAGAAAAAAATAAATGTGTTGGTAAGTAGATTTAAATAATAAACTATGGTGACAAATGCAACTATATAGTCAATTTCTTTTAGTTAATATAGAGTAAAACGATCATTTGAAAGAGGATCTTATACTTTGAATGATTCAATCTAGGATTAAGGGATCATTATATTTTATACTGCAAACCTAATTTAAAACCCACACTTAAAAAATTTATAATTTTACAATTAAAGATGGAAATTATTACATTCTTTGTAGCCAACTCTGCATTGGCAATGAACCTAAGATATTGGACCTAATCACTAGACTAAAATAAATCATATTTTTAACTATTTTCCGGCTTATGAATACAAACTTGACTATGTGAATAGTATACCATAAAGTCAATTCTACATGGTTTACTGTAATTGCAACTTCAAACCAATTTCATCTCATACATTGTAGTAGTTAGCAGGGCTGGGGAGCGGAAGGTCAATTTCTATTAAGTGATCATTTCAGCCCACGCCTTAAGCTAATGCCACTTTTCCTGTTAAATTATATTTTTTTTATTAGATTTTAACATACGACCTCACCAACTATAATGAAGTAATTGCTATTGTAAAATAATTGGGGGAAAGAATTTTAAATATTTTAAACAGTGAGTCGGTGGCTCAGTCGGTAGCGTCGCGGACTTCGGGCCCAAGGCAGCGATGTCGTAGGTTCGGATCCTGGTCACTGCCACTAAAATTTGTCAGTATCGTTCACCTTTGTACTGTACCGGCTCACTCCTTGCTTTGCTGTAAACGATCCACGCACGGGCGCTTAGTCTATGTGGACGGGCAAATGCAAGGTTAAAAGAGGCCACCAACCTCAAAAAAAAAAAAAAAAAAAAAAAAAAAAAAACACACTAAATAATGAATATTATATATAGCTGTACAGTAGCATTTTCCTAAATTGTACATAGAAAACCAAAATAACCCTTGCCAATCAGGGTGGGTATACATATACACAAATTATGTTAGGGAGTTAAAGATTTGTATGGCTTTTAGTATAGCTGTCGTCTCTTATTCAGATATATAGCTTCTAACGTGAAAGACATTAGAACAGAAACGGTGTCATAAACATAAACAAATGTTGTCACTGGCCCGAACAACTAACCGAAACAGCTGGTTTGGTTTTTTGACAATTGATTTTAAATATTAAATATGTTAATTTTCGCGCTAGTGACGTCATTTATGTTAATGATCCATACAGTTTCTGTATGGGTGAGCCTGTTGTAACCCGTTAATATTCTTCTTGGGTGAGCCTAAACGTTGAAGTGTGCTCCGAACCACCAAATAGCTGTAGGTAAATCGTTATTGGCCGGAATTGAACCCGGTTCTTCAGCACTGAAGTTCCGTGCTCTAAATGTGAACACCAGCAGCGCTCTAGACATTTCAATTCCGTGCAAACATGTCAGCTCTAGACTTATTTTTGACATTTGTAGGAGAACATTTTGCATTCTGCTTCCACTGGGAACGCAATGGTAAACTGAATAATACATCAGACCGAACTGAGAAATACGGGTTTGTCGGCGAATGAATACTCTTAGAAAACTCTAAGCGAAGTCAGTTCCTACAGAAAATTGCAAAAAATCATTTATAGAGTAGAAGAGAAATTTAAAAGGACTTTTAAATGGGGGAATTTAAAAACTTGTATAAATGGTGGCAATTAAACTATCTTTTGTATTCGCTATACAGTACTTTTCCGGCTACCACTTAAAATAATTCATATCAAATTCCAACAAAACAGTGTAAACAGTTTCTCTGTTGTATTTCGAACGTTTATTGTCTGTAGTAATTTAACCTTGATTTCGTGTACAGCGTTGAAAAATTTACTACCTATTTATTTAATTTATTAGTTTATTTTCATTGTATTTCCTACTTAAACTTATAAAGATGTAAAGATTCGTAATTGAAATGTTTCTAAGCTTGCAAACCTCAACCTATTATTACAATCGCGCTTACAAATGCTACTAAGTACACTATAACAGTATCTTGGAGATAAATACTCCGACAAAATAATTAAAGGGACCTTAAACTCCGCACGTTAATTTAATGACTACAACCACGCAATCTAACACGCAAAAACCCTACAATGTTTACTCGTTCATACCAGCGAGAATTCATACTTATCTTGGCATTAAAACATATTCAAACATGCCTTAAATAAATAAATATAACACTGTATAGCAAGTAGAAATTTAAATGCATTACTTAATCACTGCGATCGAGACGCATGTAGGGTAGGCTCCTATGTGTGTGAGCTGGTACGACAACTATAGTAAAATCCATCCAATTATGATGAAATTTGATTCAAACCTACGTCTATTACGTAGCACGTTATGCATGACCAGACTATAGGGACGGGGTTCGATAAGGAATAAACAATGGGATTTTCACATTCTTTACTCTAAAAAATCAGAAATTCATTCTAAACCATCTTGTAAAGATTAAAAAGAAAAATAATTGAGCAAATCAAAGGGTTTTCGTATGCTTAACTTTTAGGGTAAAACTAAACAAAGAATGTAAATAAAAAATATCAATTTTATCATGATGTTAAATAAGAAAACGATTGTAGTTTGCTTATTTTTGTACATCTCTTGATCGAATTTAGCAAATTTATTCATTTTACTAAGTTAAACATGAAATTAAAAACACACACTCTTCATTACCTTTCCTATAGCAGCAAACCTAATTAGCCTATTTGTTAAATCTAATGTTATTGAAATAGGGAATAAATCCCCAACTGGAATATTTAAGTAAAAATTAAATTAAGCACAAGCGAATTTACTTAGCCTGCAGGTTTGCTGCAATGGGGAGATTTGAAGTGTTTTTATTAAACTTTTGTACACAATAAAACCAAACGTCATTTATAAAAGCGACCGAGCAACCACGACAAAGTTAAAGTTCACAGGTTTATGCATTATTCACTTGGTCATTATAAATACAGGAAGTTTTTGGTTAAATCACTTCTCTACGTCGTGTATCGTCTTCCGGATATCTCTATACTTTTGGATAACATTTTGGATTTTTAAATTTATTAAGTTAGTAAATATTTGTTAGCTTCTTAAATGAGTGCAGGCATAGCATCCTAGGTGAAGGTGGCTGTGGTTCTACAAATACTCAGAAGTATCGATCCCGTTTTTCTTTTTATCTTAAGGAACTTTGGGATAGGGGAACACAAGGTATACGAACAATTATAGACTAAACACAACCCCGATATATTTGCCATTCATAAATAACATGGTCACATCAAAATAAGTGTGTCCTCCGAAAATGTGTCCACGAATATTGAGTTCTTGCCTAGTATTCGAAACACGTCGAATTATGAACTCATACAAACAAATATGGTCTATGAAAGTATTTTGGTTGTCGATTACACTATATCATCACTAGTTCTTTCGATCCGAAGTTTTAAATTTAATATACTTTGCACAATGACACGCAGAAGGCACCTAAAGCCTTTTCAAAGGGACAGTTTATTGCTGAAATGCCATTTCGAATAAATACCAACATGGACGTAGAATTTGCAATTTCATTTATTAAGTCTTTGATTTCTTGTTATTTTGCATAGCTAATCCTTGTATTTAAATTAAAATGTTATTGTATTAGCTCTACTAATTTAAATGTTGGGACTTTGCTGAGGAAATTGACAGCGGACACGTACATTCATTTATATTATTTAATTTACAGGGCTTTAATATTGTAAAAAAAACTTAAATCGCAAATAATAACTACAAGTGTAACATTTGTAAACCTGTTTATTTAATCCTAAAAAAACTATATGCCCAAGAAAGAAATTACGAAGTAAATGGACACAATAAACACCAATTGTAACACTACTACAGCTGAATACACCCGTGTATAACCTCAAAACCACGGGGTTGTGCGTAGCATATCTCTCTGGGACGAGTGTGGCAACATTGTAATGTAAGGCAGGCACTGTCCCCAGCTGTACAGCTGCAATGTGACAGCCACAGACAGCCAATGATCGAACGTCTACCGGGCAGGATTAACTACACCCTGTGTAATCATATTGATGGATGTGGCCTGCTATGTTAACGTTTTGAACAAATAATCAATGTTATATTGACATTACAGGTTGTATAGGTAAAGTGTTAATAATTTTGTTGTAACATTCAACACAAACATTATTGATGAAGAAAGGGAAACTAATTTTACTGGGTAAAATTTAACAATATCCAAATTCACTTTCAAAATTCCTACTTTGGTTCGTGTTTGGGCTGAAATACGTATAAATTACATTCTCCATCTCGTTTAAGATTATAATTATTTAATTGTATTTTACATGGAACTTCAATTCGTCTATTTATTTTATATTGGGCATGATGCTAAATAA